CACTAGCCACTGCTGTCCAGTCAGACTCCACATCCCCTACTGTGACCATCTGATTTCTTCCAATGAGGAAGTCCTCTATCCATCGCCATACTTTCTTCTCCACTCCATATGATCTTAGTTTGGACAGCAACCTCCTATGTGGGACCGAGTCAAATGCCTTGGAGTAATCAAGGTACACCATGTCGACGCCACCTCCTTCATCTATCATGCTTGTCACTTCCTCAAGGGTCTCCAGCAAGTTAGTTAGGCAAGATCGGCCCTTCATGAATCCATGTTGGTCTTTCGAGAGCAGATCAAGCTCCTCAACATGCTTCAAGATTGCTTTTCGGACAATTACTTCCATTATTTTGCATGGGATAGACGTTAGACAAATAGGCCTGTAGTTTCCCGGTGACTTTTTGGATCCTTTCTTAAAGATGGGGACCACCCTGGCTGTCTTCCACTCCTTAGGTAATCTTCCTTCATCTAGGGACTTTCGGTATATGATGAACAGGGGTTTGGCCATCTCTTCGGCACACAGGTTCAAGACGCAAGGATGGATACCGTCTAGGCCAGGTGATTTGTCATGCTTCAGCCTTTTCATCTGTTCCTTGACGTCATCGGTGGTAAACTCAAGGTCGGTTAGATCTGTTTCCCCATTCCTTGGTTCTAGCCCTGGAACATCTCCATCTGGTTCATGGGTAAATACAGATTCAAAGAACCTATTCAAGACATTCGCTGCCTCTTCCTCTGTCTCCGTTAATTCTCCGTCCTCTCCTTCCAGTCTGGAAATTCCAACTTTAACTTTTTGTTTAGCTCTTACATAGTTGAACAGTTGCTTCGGCTTCTCCTTGAATTCTTTCATTAGCTTTCTTTCATAGGCAGCCAGGCCTTTTTCCACTATCTTCTTTGTTTCATTCCTCTGCTTAGCATATTCTTTGTAGTCTTTGTACCGTTGAGTCATCCTATACTTCATGTATAGTTTGTGTTTCTTCTTTACCGATTTCTTCACATTTGCTTTCATCCATAGTGGCTTGTTTCTATTCCTAGGCTTTCTTGTTGGGACACATTTCTTGACTGTGCTATGATATTCCTCCTTAAAAATATGACATGCTCCTTCGCAATCTGATGCTTCTAGCTTGGAATCCCAGTCTATATTGGCAAAATTTCTCTTGATTGTTATATAATCACCTTTGGCATAGTTCAGTCTTTCTCTACTTGAGCAGATTGTGTCAGAGTGGCAAATATATGTCCAAAGTAAGCTGTCATGGTCACTTCTGCCCACTGCTGCTGCGTGTGTAACACTATCGATGGAGTTTTCGTCATTGCTGAATACAAGGTCCAGTAGTGACGATTTTTGACCTACTCGGCTTCTTGTGGCATCTTCTACATGTTGAACCAGCAACAGATCTTGCGTTGTGTCCATGAATAGCTGTGGTTCGGAGTTAATCCCGGCATTGACGGCATTAGTGGTCCAGTTTATTCCTGGATAGTTAAAGTCTCCAAAGACTAGCTTGTGAGTGATATGAGGAATGGATTCCATCATCAGTAGCTGTTGCCTCAATGCTTCATTGTTTTGGTTGGTACTGTTTGGGCTTCTGTACATACCCCACTAGCAGATTCTCCTTCTCACTGAGCTTTACCTCACACCATATCGATGTTTCCATCTCAATCTCTTCCAATTTGTAACACTGTGCCGCATCAAGGGATTTGTGAATGTTCAACAAGACTCCACCTCCTACTCCATTCCTTCCTTCTTTATCTTTCCTGAACAGATTGTATCCTTCAAGTGTTATTTCACTATTGCACCACGACTCTACAATTCCTATGACCTTTGGTTGGTAGATCTCAATATTTGCTTCTAGTTCATGTCTTTTGTTTATTACACTATTGGCATTTGTGTAATAACATCCTATGCCACATACTACGTCTTGTATATCCTCCTTACCGCCTGTGCTTTCAGGCTCTTTGGTACCTGTACTTTCAGGCTGCGTTGCCTCATCAAGTGTATCGTGCACGGTGCTATGTGCATTTCTTACGTTGATATGGAATGTGCTGTGGGCTGTCTTTTCTCGAAGGCCTTTAGACCTGTCACCTCTGCTTGATGTGACATCTGGGATTGGTCTACTCCTGGTAGCATCCTTGGGTCTATTTCTATTGGACTCCGTTGTGTGCTCTTTGTTATTGCTGTGCTTCTTTGCATCAGCAATTGAATCAGACCTATAGCTTTTAGGTACTGTAGTGCAGGTCCGTGCAATAGGTGCAATGGTACTCTTTTTGTATGTACATTCCTCATGATGACTTGATTGCTGATTAATCTTCTGCAGACGGTGTGATGTCTCTCCGTCTTTCAGATGGCTGCCCACGAAAGGATTGGTCACTCCTCACAATTCTTCCATTGCGGATGACGATGTCATTCTCTCCCCTTTCTCTTCTGGTAGCCAACTCTGCACGTAATTTCCTGTTCTCCTCCCTCTCTTTGTACGTCAAATCTGGAGTAATGAATACTTTGTTCCATGACTTATTATCACTTGTCTTCAGTTGTCTGGCCTTAGTTAGTGCTAGTTTCTTCACTTTTCCATTACTGACTGTAACTCTCAGCAATCTAGGTTTCCCTCGTCCTTCTGCGGTAGTCACTCTCTTGCCTAGCCGGGTTGGTTGCAATACCTCGGTGTAATCTAGCTCAAGGTCACCCAAGATATTTTTAACTTGATCCACATCATGTGACTTTCGGTCATCTATGTCATCACTTTCGGACTCTGGAATGTTATGGAATATTCGATTACTCTGTCTATCTTCCCTCTGTTTTTGTTCGTTCAAATACTTATTCACTTTCTCTTCAATCAGGTCTTCCATTCTGTTTTCTTTGGTGACCATGGCTTTCTCAAGTCGCATGAAACCCTCAATCACTGCATCCAACTTTTGATTCATGTCCGTACTGCTTTGTCTTGATCTTGGTGACATCATAGGTGATCTATCTTGTAGGAAACGTGACCACAGGGAGGCACGCGTCACAGATCCATAGGAGGTTGTCCTTGTTCTTTTTTGTCAATGTCTTGAACTCTGTCATGTTGAGGCCTGAACAAACTTCTTTTTGACATGCAATATGTAGACAACTTGCTATGTTACCTTCTGCCTGGGTGGTCTTTTGTTTATTTTGAGGATCAGACTCACTATCATTCTTAAATGCGTGGCTCTCGGGACTCCCACCGGTACTGGCGGTAGCATTGTTTACATCGGCCGCCATCTTGGATTTCTTGACTTTGGTCTTGCCATGGCCATGATGGCCACCTGATTTTTTCAGCATTTTCAGCAGTTCCAGAGGCCATCCTCGATGCCGAACCATTGTTAGAATATGGGGTCTAGGCTAAGCACTAATACTACACCACACCAACCTTTTTGGTCCTCTTCTCTCCTCCAATCTTGAATTTTCACTCACTCAACAGCTACAGTCTACAGCTAGGGCCAGCTTATATCATCATTATTTGGTTCAGACTTTTATAATCAGCAAGAACACATTGAAAAGAAAATCTCACCAGTTTAGCTGGCATGATCTTGGATCGTTAAAGGTCTAAAGTTTGCAATGGTAATCAGGCTAGACTGAAGAGCAGTAGGTATGACAAAACGGTCACCTCGCATAATACAGTTATCAGCAACTGAAAGTTCATCCTGGAGGTGGAAGTAGGGTTGTAGTTCAGTTGTAATGTGCTGTTTAGCAGGCCAACCTGGCCTCTACTTTTAGTACCCATTTTGTTCAACATTGTGAGATTCTTGCGCCTTCTTGAAGATTTTCAGATGCTGGATACGCCACAAGAGGTCTAGAGCAAAATAAGACAAATGTATTTGTTCCATTTTTTAAATGTTAGTGAAGGGCTGGGGGAGGGGCGTGCATCCCCGGCCCCCCAGTACAAAACTGCATCTGATATACGACATATGTCATACCCTGAAGAGGGACAATGGAGAAAAAAATATTTTGGGTGTTGTCCCTTAAAAGCTGCCGTGAATTTAAATTAAAGGACAGCGCAACAACTGCGAGAATATTCTGTTTGTTGATGAAGAAAATAGCACTCAAACAACTGGATGCAAGGGTTTTTTAAGCAACGCGCACCAGCATTTTAAAACGGGAAATAAATCCGAGAAATAAAATGGACCAAACTTCGAAATGAACATGCAGCTTGATAACCCATTTTGAATTTTGTTGGGGAAATAACTGCTACAGGTCAAAAATATCACTTTTACGGACATAACAATATATCTTTCCATACAAACCTACGGGTAAAAAGGTGCGCGTTACGCAACTTTTGCCCCACGCGCTAAAAAAATGGCGCCGCCCATGGCAGAACGCGCGTCTGTACGCACTGCCGATCTAGTCTTTTTATTCTAAATTTTCAACTCCCGTCAGTTGCTCAGGCTCCGTTTCGAATTCACGAAGGGTCGAAATGCATATGATTCGACGCTCACAATATTGTCCACATGCAGTGGTCGACCGCAATGAAAAAGGAATCACATATCCGGTATTGTGTGTATGCATTTCTATGGCAAACCTTTCGGATAGTATTTGTGCGCATTGGCTAACCGCAGTCTACAGCTGCAGCCAGTGCTTTTACACATAGGTCATGATAAATTACCCACAATGCCATCCCCACTTCCTTCACAAGATCCTGTGAAGCTCATCTGCCCTTTCCAGCGCCCTGTTTGCAGGGCGGGGGTACGAGCGACTACCCAAAAAGCACGTACATGTATATTTGTTTTATGTACCAACTTGCATTTCATTAGTAAATTTGTTTTAAAAAAGTGCAATGTCGTGTTATAAATTATTTAAACCTTTGATGTCCGTTCTAGTCCACTGTAATATGTCTCATATGTCTCACTAACGAAATTTCGTTGCACCAAAAACAAAACAAATCTGCAAAATCGTTCAAACAAAATGCGATGTTGGGAAATAAATTATTTACACCTTTGATGTCCTTTCAGGGCCACCATACTATCCAGCTGTTGCCTCGCAACGCACACACTAGTCGTTGGTCGTCAGATATACGTACTGTCGAGCGCGCCATGTGTACGCCGCGCTGCGAGATCGGTGTCGAAAGTACCTGGACCTGCTAATTGCTAATTTTACTGTGTGGAATCAACCAGAAAACTTAGTGAAACTTTGATGTAGACTTATTTGAAATTGTTCATTATATTAGCTTGCATTTTTTTTTTTACCATCAAGCCGACGAATGAGATACCCGTTCAACACCGGCAATCTATGTAAGTTTCTAGGAACTACTGGCCCTAGGGCCGGGCTAGCCCAGGTTGGACTACCATTTTTGTTAATTCAGAATGTGTTTTGGATGTGTTGACGGTGTGTTGACGCTTCTGTCATGTGTTGACGTAGCCCCACTAGTGTGGCCGTCGGTATGCTGCGCTGAACCTAAGGCCACACACCGTGGTCCGCGCACTACTGAGGACGTTTTCATAAAAATTGCAGGGAATTTCTTACATATGGTTGTATTCTACGATGTCCCATCTATCACTTCTGGGATGCTTAGGTGTAATGATGTTCAATTTTCCGAGATATTCTTGAATCTTTCTGAATTCTGGAGCCCATATGCACTCGTGAAACGTCCGGTGATGGCAGCCATTTTGAATGTGACAAGAGATGACCTCAAGCTGTGACGTCGCGTTTATGCAAATTGCTTGTCGAGCGAGCGCGCGAGGGCGCGAGTTGCAAATGCGACGGCTGTTTCCTGTACCATGCATTTATCGTCTATCTACGGCACAGGAAATAGCCGTCGCATTTGCAACTCGCGCCCTCGCTCGACAAGCAATTTGCATAAACGCGACGTCACAGCTTGAGGTCATCTCTTGTCACATTCAAAATGGCTGCCATCACCGGACGTTTCACGAGTGCATATGGGCTCCAGAATTCAGAAAGATTCAAGAATATCTCGGAAAATTGAACATCATTACACCTAAGCATCCCAGAAGTGATAGATGGGACATCGTAGAATACAACCATATGTAAGAAATTCCCTGCAATTTTTATGAAAACGTCCTCAGTAGTGCGCGGACCACGGTGTGTGGCCTTAGGTTCAGCGCAGCATACCGACGGCCACACTAGTGGGGCTAGTGTTGACGCTGTGTTGACGCTTTTTAGTGCGACCCCTACCGTGCTGGCGTGCTGTAAACCAGGACATATGATCTGATGTACATGTATTATGTTGGAGACGTCCATGCCGCAGAGAACAAAGACCCTTCACTACATTGAAAGTTTTAAATCTCCTGCAATCGAGGACGCCTATTGTCTCTTTTTTGTTTGGGAGACCTTTTCAGGGAGACCTAGTAGCCCTGGTGGACTCACTTTCCTCCCTACGTATTGCAATGAAGACTTCGTCCAACCTGGGCTAGGAGACCTAGCTATCTCCCACATGTTTTGTACACGATTGTAAATATGGGACCTCTCGGGAATTGGGGACCCTATTGTCCTCTATTGTTCAACATCCCATACTGAATGCAGAAACGAACTCATGTACATGTATGTATTTTGGAAGATGTTAAGTACCTTTTTTGAAATACATGTATTTTATAAATCAGATGACTGGTTCTGATCACTTTATTTAACGTGTGGTAAAACCAAACGAAAATAATTATTGTATTTCAACTTTTCCTCTGAAAGCTGTTAATTATATGATCAGTTTCATGTGTTGTTTTGTCCTGAAACAAACTGCAAGTATTAAATTAACTCTTTTCAGCCTACTTTTACTGTCCTGGCATCCATTAATTGTTGAGGTGTCATTTTTAAAAAATATTTATTTCATCAGCAAACACAAGATTTTTTTGTTAGTCATGGGTTTTCATAGATGTTTAGCAACGAGCATGTCTATTTATGATGTAGGTTTATAAGAAAAGTATTACAATATTTTTACAATTTTATAAGATGTTTAACATCATCTTGTAAGATTTTAAAAACTTTAAAAGATTTTTATAAGATTCTGTGACTATTCTTATAAGATTGTTATAAGATTCTGACAAGATTCTTATAAGATTCTTATAAGAGTATTTTGTAGACCACGCCTGGATTCTTATAAGAATCTTATAAGAATCTTATAAGAATATTATAAGATCTTACTAATTTGCATATAAAATACTTATAAGAATCTTATAAGATTCTTATAAGATTCTTATAAGAAGGTTCTCAGATTCTTATAAGATTCTTACAAAATTCTTATAAGATTCTTGTAAGATTCTTATAAGATTCTTATAAGAGTATTTCGTAGGGGCGCGGCTATTGTGTGATTGATATGGTCAAAAGCTTTGCTAAAGTCTACTGCACATAAATTTACAAATTTACAAGCCTTATCAAGGCCATTGTGAATAGTATCAAGCATGCTAATGAGATAATGGTCAGTGGAGCTACCTTTCATATTCCCAAATTGTTGTGTATCAATAGCCAGTCTAATGTCCCTCATAATCCAGTCTGCCAAGAAACCTTCAAAGATTCGGCTATCACAGACGTTATGGAGATAGGGTGAAGTTGGTCGAAACTGGTGACTCGGGTTGTTTTAGGAACAGGGCAAACTGAAGCATTTTTCCAAATATTTGGAAAAATCCCAGAACTGAGACAAGAGTTAAAAATAATGGTAAGTGGCTTAGACAGTTCAAATGCAAATTCCTTCAAAAGTCTTGTGGGACAGTCATCAGGATGAGAGGCTTTGGATGTGTTCAGCTTACCAAGAGGAGTGTATATCTGATTCCGGTGTATTACAGGTACAGGCGGTGCTGGCAGGTATGGGGTTAATGTACATGTAGAAGTGTCAAGTGGAGGAAGCCTTGAACATATCTCAGCAAAATGGAAATTGATCTCGTTGGCTACCTGTAGGGGTGGATTGTTGCATCCAGGAAGGCATAAAGGTCGTTTAGTTAGCCCTGTCAAATGACGGATCTGCTGGTGCCACTATTTCCTGGTTTGGATTGTTTCAAGTGCTCTATTTTACGACTGTAAAATTGTGTTTTGCCAGATCTAATCATCCGTTGGACTCTATTCCTTAAATTTCTATAAGTACCATCTCCTCTTTTAAAGGCTCTATCACGTTGCATTATTAGCCTCCGTATAAGTGATTGTTTATCCAAGGTTTGTCATTTTGGCGCCGTTTAAAGCTGACAAGTTTAAAATGTTGTCGGTATCGGCCATTGATTAGTTGTCGAAAATGCACAGTCATGCGGTCAGGGTTTTCATTGAACTCATATAACACTGACCAGTCCATTTGCGTTATCCATTGCCCAAACTCACGGATGGATGAATCATGAAAAGGTCGAAATGAGATTGTAGATGGTTCTATTGGGGCAATAGTACGAAAGGGGAGAACCGTTATCACCGAATGGTCACTGGATGAGATTGGAGCTGAGATGACTGGATCTAAGTACCTATCATGAAGATCGGTTAAAAAATTTTCCAGAATCAAGTTACCTCGGGTGGGTTGTTTGACGATTGGTACCAATGCAGTGTGTCGCTCAATCAGGTGTGTTGGGAGGTCATTGAAGTCACCCATAATGATAAAGGAGGCATGTTCATTTGTCAGTCGGATGTTGTCAACCATAGTAATGATGTGGTCGTGGAGTTAATCCTCGTACTGTGACTGAGGCGGCGAGTATAAGACACAAATATAAATGTTTCTCATCAGCCGAGTAGACCTTGATGATGTCAGGTTAACCCATAAGACTTAGATGGGGAGGAACGATGTCGGCAAAAAGTTCCCTTGCATTAATGCTGTCACGAATGTAGAGAGCAACACCCCCACTGATGCGTTCGTCACGGTCGCGGTGGAATTGTTGAAATGACAACAGTTTGCATGCAGAGGCAGGGTTTGTAGCAGAAAATCAGGTTTCAGTAACTGCGATAACATGGGTGTTGTTGTTCTGTGAGATGAGTGTGGCTTCAAAGTCATTGAATTTGTTGCTCAGTGATCGGGCATTGAACAACATCACGGATGGTAAACATGGTTGGATATTCAGTGTTCGGGTGTTAATGAGCACTGATCTATTAGACAGTCCAAATCTTGGTCTATTCGATTGCACAACAGGAACGTGAGACTGCAGGTGACTATCGTTATGTTCATTTGCATGAGTTCGGCGACCTGCTCTTTTTCCTCTGTATCGATGTAAGCCATTGTTTTTGAGTAATTGAAGAGTTTCATGGCAAAGGAAGGTGCGAGCCAGTCTGCAGTATGCAAATAGTTGATCACGACAATATGTGATACAGTGACTGTTATGCAGATCAATTAACTCAACAGGCTCAATATTACAAGGTCGGGGGTTAATCGAAATATCCATGAATATATAGTGATATCTGTTGGGGGGTCACATCCAGGTACAAGCAAGCATGTTTGTCCCCGTTTGGTCCATTTCATTATAGGAATTCTTGTAGGATGAAAACCGATTGGGCATAAACCCAGAGTTAGTTTGGGGTGATGTATACAAATTGGAGGTTGTACATACCAGGGTTGAAAGGCACTGAATGGACTGGTGAAATGTCTTTGTGGTAATGCTCCATTGTCAATCTTATTAAAGATGGAGATCCTTGAAGAAGTTCCAAGGCAAATATATAGTAGCACAACTAGTCGCACAGAAAAGGCAGCCATGATGTGTTCACAATTTCACTCACATGGTTGGCTGGAAATGAAACTCACTCGAAAAGCTTGCATTTCCAAGATAAAACTACTGTCAAAGTTACTCAGAAGATCTCATAAAGTCCTCAGTAGAAATGTGGTTGTAAAAACTAGGATGGATGATGACAAAAACAGGTGATAAAACTCGATTAAAAATCAGAAGCTACGATGCAAAATTGTAAGATATGGCAGCTATAAACAGCGCCCTCTATTTTTATTTTTTTTAATTTTTATGTAAGAACAAAGGATCACGAAATTAAATCCCTTATAGTACAATCAATTATTTTGTGATAAAATTCAGTAAACATTCTATGTACACATTTAAGTTATTTCTGGCTTGATGACATCATTATTCAAAAACGGGAAGTGAATACTGATTTAGTTCGGAGAGTATACATGTTCATTGTGCAGAAGTTAAATAATGTATGAAAATATGAAAAATGTAAGTGTATGCATTCATAACATCTAACTTCCGGTTTGATATCACAGTATTTGGAAGCAAAAAATGAACATTGTAATGGATATCGTTATTTGGGCTGCTAAGATATTCGACATGGATCGAATGATATAAAAAAGACTGAAAATGCGGGTAGTTTTCAAATTCTCAAGTAATTACTTCTGGTCTGATGACTTCATGAATTTGAAACCTTGCCAAGTTATTTGTGGTTATTCGAAGAATATCACAGGGCGATTTGATAAAATTTGAACAGATGGTTTTCAAATTAAAGAAAGCAAACACTGTTTTATGTGCCGCTAGGGGCGCCCTTTTGAAAGATGACGTCATCACACTGCGTTTTTGTCTGGCATTCTTCATTGAACACTTTCATAATTTATATTTGTGTGGTAAAATGGTTTCGCTTTTGAGTTATATTCGGTTTTTATTGCACTTCCGGTAACACCGGAAGTGAAGGTCAAGCGGTTTTGTGTCCGGGAACAAGAAATGTTTCTCACGGCATAGTCTACAACCTCACGAAAAAAATGAACACGATTCTCCATTTAGTTCAAAAGATAATGGGCAAACTATTTTCTCAAAATATGCCCTTAAATCGCTTGTAATCTGATAAATATGATGAAGTCATGATGACGTACGTGTAACAAAGTTTATAACATCTTTGTTACATGATACGAGTTCACACTAAGTTTTATGATCATACCGTAAACCGTTTGGAAGAAATTTTGCTTTGTTTTGATTTCAGGCTTAAGTCTTCGATTTGAATTGACCTAACTTTGACCTTCCAGTAGACCCGGAAGTAAAGGGCAAGCGAGTTCACGTACACGACATAAAATGTTTATCAATTAATGGTTTATCTGACTACATGTACAAGGTTGGAAAATAATTGATAATTTTGTTCAAGAGTTATACGTGAAAGAATATCATTTTTTCAACGAAAATCGTTTGTAATTTGACACCTGATGATGTCATCATGACGTAATCATGACATCAGAGTAATATGCACCACTAGGGATGAAGGTCGATATATGTTGAAAGTTACAAGTTCATACCATATACCGTTTAGGAGAAAACCAGCGGAGAAGTATTGTCCGGAAAAAAAAGAAAGATTTATCAGAACAATAACAGAGAGTGGTCGGGTTGTGCCCGACCACTCAAAGAAAGAAAGATTAATCGTAACAACTCCAAAGAGTGGTCAGGTTGTGCCCGACCACTCAATTAGAGCTATACGCATGTAAATGAATTGCCAAGTTTTGCCTCATACGAATTAACTACAATCTGCAAGGATTGAAAATAACAAAAATGAAAGCGCGATTTTTATTTGGATCTCCTGAAAACTTTTTCTCTACAACATTGCTTTTCCGTTGAGGGCATGTGTGACGTCACTATTGAAGAAAAACAAGTCACGCTTAATCAATGACTGTTTTATGTTATGGTATGTGCCCCGCGCCAAAAGCCCATACTGTCATACGGCGAGGGACACATGTCACTACACATTCAGCGCACTTATTTTTCTTCGATCGCCGACGGTGACGTCACACACGCCCTCAAGGGAAGAGCAATGAAATGGATGGAACAACTCGACAGATACATTTAATTGTGAGCAGTAAGTTTATCAAGAATTTTGGTGTTTTTTTCAAAATTGCCACTTGTTGGGATTAGGCCAAAAAAAAAAAAGTCTCCGGTTTCTGGTATGTGCGCGCGTCGCCGCAGCCATGCGCGTCGGCAAAATGAAAAAGTTTTTTTTTCAATACAAGATGATGTCTCAAAACCGCCAAACTCACTGGTTTGACTGGAATCCTGCTGCTGCGCAATTTTAACGTGTTTTTAGATGGGGTTATGATCGAGAATAAGCTTTATGTGGCCTCTCTGGACTCCCATATATTTGCACTAAGTTTAGTCGGGCACCATTTGCAGTCATCAGCCGACATTTGAAGCCAAAAAAAAAAAAAAAAAACAGGTAAAAAAAAAAAAAAAGCCGCATCGCCGCACCACTTTTGGGGCAAGCTCCATACCAGAAACCGGAGACTTTTTTTTTTTGGCCTTAAAAGGTCTTATGGAATGTCAATTTCATGTCTATGTATTCTATGTGCCCTTATCTACGGGAATGGTGGGTTGAAAACTTCCATAAGCCAAGGAGGACAAAATAATCCAGGAAAATAAGCTCCAAAACTACTTCAAGTTGTGTCATGGTTGTAGACTAATTTCATCCGCTAAACAGAGTTCGTACACTGTGCGTATGCAAACCTAGATTTTATCTGTGCTTCGTGTAACGCAATACTTACTGTATCAGTTTGATTAATTACAATGTAAAGGAGCTTTAAATACCAGTGCAAGTTTGTAGCTTTGTAAGTTATTTTGTCAAATTGCCTATCATCTTTTCAAGTGAGTACTGGGATACATGTCAGGCTGTAAATGGATTTTTCTTACATCTTGAAGTTTCCTTTTAAATTTCAGGAAGTCCGAGTGCTGTATACATTCAAACGTGTCAAAAGTGCCAAAACATGAGCAGTAGGCTGAGTACAAAGCCCTCCAGGAAGGACAGACCTCGCTCTAGTGGTAAGTATAGCTAAAATGGTTCAAGTTAAAATGGTCGCTCACCGTGGGGTGGGGGGGGGGGGCCATATAGCGTACGGATTAGGTTGGACCATGGAGCTAAGCATAGCTACCAACTATTATGAATTTTTCGTAATTATTACAAATTGTTTTGTTAAATTATTAAAATACGAATTGCCACCAAAAAATTACGAATTTCCCATTTTCGCAAAAAAAACAACACTTGTTAAGTATCGTTTTTGTGAATATTCAGATAAAATCACGTACACTGATAGTCAAAATAAAAATCGATACCAGTACCGAATATTTTTGTACATGTAGTCATGGTTGTATACTTTAAAAAGATGTTTTGACTAACCGAAAAGATTTGTAGTTCTCGAATAGTAAGAATTGATATTTTGTCAATAGGGGTTCCAACCTGTGCAATGTTGTAATGGGTAATAAGAGGAACTAGTTACGAGTGAGACTCGCATTTCAAGATGGCGTCCAAAAGATTGCCATGTGAGTCCGAAGTTTTCATCATGTTTGTAGTATTCATGAAACATTTTTCGAACTTTATGTGACATCATCATGACTTCCAAGACAACAAAAAAGGGCCAATTCTTAGTAACAAGTACTGAACAATTTTGACACTTGGCCGTCAGACGCCACGTTGAATTCAAAATCATGACATTGTTATGACAAGTAGAAACTTGTCCATGTACACGTGAGCGAATAAAGTGTAGGCTGGTGTGATATGAAAATCAGACTCCAATGAAAATCGGACTCATTTTCCATTATTGGTGAAATCCTCTCACGTAATATGTATGACCGTGCGTAAGTAATATCCCAGGAAAGAGTCTATTTATTTATAGTGTTTGATTGATGATCCTTCATACAAGGTGGATTACAGAAATCAGGCCTTCACCTTTAAAAGGTATTATATAAATCTAAACCTAACTTTTTATGGAGAAATGTTACAATGTACATGTAGGTATAAGACTATCAATTGGGACTTTAATTAATACACCTTCAGGTGCAGGTTCAGTTAAGCCTACACCAGCACAGTTGATTCACAATATTACTGTAATTACCGTACATGTAGATCAAGGAATGATTAAAGCAAATGTGAGTTTGCTGTCTTCAAACTTCAAAGAAAAACTTTTAAACTCAGATATTGACTATAATCAAAACAATGATATTGGGTAATTATGCAAAACCTAAATGTAAGTTTAGTCGCTGCTGATGAAGGGGTGTTTGAATGTGTAAACAACATCTTACACCTTGGAATTAGGTGAAATCAGTTGATTTAAATGATTAATGACCCTCAATTTATATATTTTGCCAAAAATAGACTTTACAAAAAAAGCGATGTATATCAGTGATTTTGTAAAAGTAATCAGTTGATTTAAATCCAGATTTAAATCAGTATGTAAAAAAAGGAATGTTTCTTTTAATTAGACAAGCTGAAAGCTGGACGAAAACGTGATGGAACCCCTGAGAAACCAGTGAGTCCCAATCAATCTCAGTCACAAATGGAGGAAGACATTGTTCCTGTCAGTAAGAAGATTCTAGACGGTGAAGACATCAGAGCTTTGGCCATTGATCATCAGGAGTTGGCTAAAGTAAGTACAGTACTTACATGAATTTAACTTCTCAAGTCATTAATTAATGAATACATTTATGATATTTAGCCAAAGTCAACCTTTCTGTTGTGCATAATACTGAGGTCGCTGTGCATTTTATCCAAGGTGAAAATAATTTAATAGTTACATGTAAATTCACAATTGTAAAAGTGGAGGTTTTTTATAAACCTTTTCTTGTGCACACTTGTGTATTGTGTGGCCCTTTTTAAACTCATTGATAACCCATATATCTATTTCTTTAAATGTCCGATTTTTAAAACGTGAGGCAGCGGAATAACTCACGCGGAATAAGTCATGACCATAATGAGTACCGGTAACTGTAATTAGAAATAAAATTCCAAAAAATGCAGTGTAGGCCTAGTCCCAGAAATGAGAAATCCCTAGGTTTTGTGAACCCCCCCCCCCAAAAAAGGAGAGTGACGAAGACAAGCAAACTTAACTACCACAGGCAGTAACTATGGACCATGTGTGGATGTCCATAGATATAGTCGTAAGTGTATAGGAAGTGTCATGAATCTGTGTGGGAAAAATTTACTTGAAAGACGAAATGCAGTTTGTGAGAAAAGGCAAAAAACGACAAAACCTGAGTTAAAAACATTCGATTGTAAATAGTTTGGGACAATTAGTTGAAATAACTGTTTAGCTGTACATTGAACTTTCGGTAGTTAGCCAATGGTTATGTTTTAAAAGATGGCAGGTTTTGTTGTGTTTTTTGTGTGTGTAAGAAAGTAGGGTTTAATATGAAGACATTGATGAAAAGTCACGGCACAAAATAAAGATGGTGATATTGCTGAAACAACGGATTTGTGCCTTGTCAGTGCCGTTGCACCTTCCAACAACTGCGACTGATTGTTCAGTATTATTCAGCACTCTTGGGCATCGCCACCCAATTTAGTTCATCATTGCGATTTGTAAAGCACGTGCCTCCGTAGGAGTGGTATACAACAGTATTAATGATCTGCAACCTCTGAAAATATCGCTACATGTGGATTTTACTCTAGCCGCAACACACGTGCAAAAGCTGGCCAAAACACCGCTCAGGCGCTGACAATATCACACAACACACTCTAGATGAAAGATCGCACGTTGCGCACATAGTGGTCGACAGACAGGTTGTGGCAGTTTAAGCAATGAATGTCACCCCTCTGTACCTGTAAAAAAAAACACACACCTGCACACTGGAGGGAAAAGATTATCGGAGGAAAAAGAAAAGAGTTACGTAAGAGCAGCATGCACCACAGACCCTTTTACGGATAGCCCGGAAGTGTGCAGTGTACATGTAGGCTTTTGATTGGTTACACCGTGAGCACCATGGACCCTTTTACGGATAGCCCGGAAGTGTGCAGTGTAGGCTTTTGATTGGTTACACCGTGAGCACCATGGACCCTTTTACGGATAGCCCGGAAGGGTGCAGTGTAGGCTTTTGATTGGTTACACCGTGAGCACCATGGACCCTTTTACGGATAGCCCGGAAGTGTGCAGTGTAGGCTTTTGATTGGTTACACCGTGAGCACCATGGACCCTTTTACGGATAGTCCGGAAGGGTGCAGTGTAGGCTTTTGATTGGTTACACTGTGAGCACCATGGATCATTTTACGGATAGCCCGGGAGTGTGCAGCGTAGGCTTTTGATTGGTTACACTGTGAGCACCATGGATCCTTTTACGGATAGCCCGGAAGTGTGCAGTGTAATTGAAGCAATGCATCAACAGTGTTGTAGAACTCGTACTCGGTACTCGTACTCGAGTACTACTCAAGTACTTTTTTTCTCGTACTCGTACTCGAATGTCAAAGTATTCGTACTTGAAATGACAGTACACATGTCGAAATTGTACTTGATCATCAAAGTACTTGTACTCAAATAGCAGAAATGATATAGCTTGACTTTATATACCACGGCCTTATTTCATCGATACTTTCAGTTTGAAATGGTTGATTGGCTTGTGGAGAAACACCGGACAAACACATTTTACAGCTAGCCGTGAGTGGGTCCGTGTATCAGTCTGACTGGGCTTGGGGCAATTACGCACAATGAACCATTTGCCGTATGGCCGTATTTGGGAAATACAACTACTCGTACTCGGAAGTACAGTACTCGTACTCGGAAGTAAGAGTACTCATACTCGGAGACCTGTTCTTGTACTCGGAGGTACAAGTACTCGTACTCGTACTCGGCAACCTAAGTACTCGGCAGTACCGGTACTCGGTACTCGGAAAAAAGTACTTGACTACAACACTGTCAGCATCGATCCCTCGTTGATCCCAAAACAGTTGATCTCAAAATAACGCAACACTGAATTGTACGTGGCGGGCAGCAAACTGACACAACGTCAGCCATGGTGGAATTAACACCACTCACACGCATCATCATGTATGCAACATACCGGTACATTGTATGTTCATATTGACATGGCGAGCACCATAGACCCAATTAACCTCGTGTGTCAAGCAGTAAGCGTTGCCATTGACCATTTTATGGATAGCCCGGAAGTGTGCAGTGTATGGCCAAGGTCACTACTGTTTAGTGAACAACGCCCAAGTAGAACACGGAAATGGAACCCATATGTTCAAGCCGTTGACCACGCACAACCTTGACTCGCAGAAAAGCAAACACAAAGGGCATCCAGGCAATCAACGTGAAAGTGCACACGAAGGCCAAATTGTGGTCTGCGGGTAAAGCTGCAGGTTGGGGGTTTGAGTCCTGCCTGGGGTCATGGTGCTGTGCTCTTGGGCAAGGCACTTTGTCACTCATTGCTTCTCTCCACCTAGGAGTAAATCGGAACCTGTGAGGGCAGAGATGGTTATTGTGTTTGATTTAGCTTCCTTGCGCCTAACAGGCAGCTTAGAGCTGTATACTCCCCAGGGAGCTGACATGGTATTTTGAATGTTTCAGCAGGGGTAATGAGCAGGGGTAATAATGATGTAGCGCCTTGAGCACCAGGCCTGGTGGATACGTGCGCTTTATAAATACCCACTATTATTAAATACCCACTATTATTAAATACGTACCCACTATTAAAAAACGCAGTTACAAAAAATTTACAAAACTGATCGCCCATTTGGACGCAGAAATTAGGACAACCTGAAAGTCTCCGAACCTGCGGAAGACACCCTCCACATTTTTCCACGGACGTGGAGCATATTTGGTGCGCGGGAGCCGGCACTCTCGGATGCTTTGGGAAACAAAAGGAAGATCCATTTAAAGGACATGCAAATGTCTGTCCATTTTTGTTAACATTAACTAGTGTTACAATGTATGTTAGTCTTATGATTGTACGTATAACAAAGATGTGTGCAATGCAGAAAATGTGCAGTGTTAGAAAAGTTTGTGCATTTTGTTGAACGAAGAATGAGAAGTATGTCTGTCCTCATCTCATGGGAAAGTGACATACGTGATCTTACATTGTATAGTGCATGTATGTGTCTGTCCTTGTAATAATCATTGTCTGTCCATGTTACAAATGTTATTCAGTGAAATAAAATTATAAGGTTGCAATCTAATTTGACAGATCCATGTACAATTATTATAGTACTACTGTACCTCCTTCAAGTACCGGGGTACAGTGTATATATATCTTTTCTTCAAAACAAGGATAGAGAAACCACCTATAGAGTACATAAGTGTGACATCATTTAGAACCAGGAAGTGTAGTGCAAACGAATGGAGTACTCGCGCATGTTGATTCACAGGCTGAATCACGCGCTGACAAGTCTTTTACACACATAATTGTGCGCATGATGTATTCTCTTCAGTACCCTAAACAGAGGGAATGGCCAGCATCTGAAGGTCAATACTTACATTTCAAGCCATTTTCTCCAGTCTTTGTTATATTACTTTTCATGCCAATTTACATATCTGGCAAGTCATTTTAGTTTTGTGTGCCATGGAACATCTACTCTTTAATTCAGTAAATTAGGACCAAAATCACCAATTTTGTTTGGATGGCTCTGGACTCAAACAGTGACACAGCAGTGACAATAATTGCCTCCCTCAAGTGTTTCAGATTTGTCTATATTTTCATGATAAAAAGTAGTTTTTTATTTTTTTTATTTTTTTTAAATAGTCCTACCGGTACCTACACACTTTGGGGGGGGGGGGGGGGGGAGGGGCAGTGTAACCAGAACAACAGGTACATGTGTAACCAGGACAACAGGTACATGTAAACCCTAAAGTTATTAGAAATTGTGATAATTAAAATGAATTTATATATCTCTGCATCAGTAACTCTGTACCATACAAGATTCCAATCGAAAGGAAATGCAGCACATGTACCTTGTTACCAAAATTATGATCTCGAAATTTAAAGTGTGTGATATCCATGGATGAAGATCCTGCGTGTATATTTGAAAGACCAGTCAGTTCCATATTGTGGAACTTTATCAGGTAAGGACATGTTCACTTTGTTATATACTGTGGAATTGACCCTAAACAAAGCTTTGGTGAAGGGTATTGTGGAAATGTCTTTCTGGGCTTTCTTTTTTGAGAAAGATGAAACTAGGGTTGAAATACCAGCACCTAAAACCTTTTCATAACCAAACACACAGATACGTGCAACCAAACAACTTTCAGCTAGCTACAGCAAAGAGATTGTAAGCAACAAAGTCACTGTGCGGAAGCTACAGCCTCAAGCAGAGTCAGATAAACCAAGAACAAAAAACATCTTGATTGCCAAGCCAGCTCCACCTAATGCTTCTCTCAAACAGGAGGATTTCACAGGTAAAAATTTGTAATGATTGTGATAAGCTCATGTAACTCTTTTTTTTTATGGATTTCTAAACTTATTTTGATATTGCAAAACAATTACAATGCAGAATCAATGTGTAATTAACAAGCACGAGTCTTAAAAATGTACACGTACTTTGCATAGCCATGGTGGAGCCATGGTGGAGCCAGAGGGGGCCATGGCCCCTGCCTGTTCCCTATGCCTTAAAAAGACGGCTGGCCTCGGCTATTCGTTGTGCACAGGCTGTTTTAAAAATAATTGCAAAATCCCACCGTACCTACCTTAAGCATGTACAAGAAGCCTTACTGTATATCCATGCTATCATGTATGCATTCTCTACGAACACGTGCAGTACGCGTACGATGTACTTCGCTGGTGCATGATATAGGTAGCCACTCCACATCCCCTATGCATATTCTCAGCTTGATCATCATCATCGACATCATCGTCATCTATGGTGTATGTTGTACATTAAAAAGTGATATGGTGCTTCCTTCAAGTTGTGCAAATTACAATCACTGATGATTATATTCTGTTGGACACCAGAAGTAAAGCCTACACACACTAGTAACAATAACTCTTGCACAATTTGACTGCCAATGGTTTGGCCTAAAATGAATCTGAACCTAACATTAGGCATTCAAATTTAAATTGGACTGAATTAAAATCGAGAAAATTTCAGGAACTTTTTTCATGGAAACATTTCATTTTTGTAGTAATAACATGGCTAAAAACTAGTGTTAAGATGTGCAATGTTTTGCTCTTCTGCTTTTACTTTGATTTAAATTAGGGCCTACACTGATTTTGACAAAACATTGAGAAAGGGATTTAAAGATTATGTCAAAAATATAATCCTTTTTTCCAAAACTAAAACTATGGAAATGGAAAATGCTTGGTTTATCTGGTGCAGGCAGTTTGTGATCGGAGTAGGGCTTTATTGGCAGTGTGTATGATTCGAGCAGAATTTCCTTTGATCACCCCTGTTGATTGGCTCAAACGTTCACCGAGGTTTTCACTGATGGTGGGTGGAATGAACGAGCATTGAGGTATTGGTCTGTATGTGTAGGTTTCCTGTATACAGAGTGCCCAAGTGAACCATCGGCCCGTTTGGAAATGAGTACATCAAGGAAAGGCAATGAATCGGATGCTAAGCCTCAAATCTTATATCATTATTACTATGTTGCCGTGACATGATGAACGCTATCACTTCAATTACATTATTAAACGCACGGACCCGGTTTGTAAAGGTTGGCTGGACTTAGCCGCCCTTGTTTAAAATTCCTGTGTGGACCTTAAAAATTCAAGAAAATAGTATTGTGAAGTTACCATATTTATCTTCTCTATGAGCACTTAAACTCATTCATCTGTGTCTGTAAGATTTCTTTCACTTGTCATTGTCATTGATCGAGAGGACTTTGTCTTTGCTTCATTATTACCAGCATACTCTCGAAAAAGTGGCCGGCCACCATTCTATACCAAACCTCATTGGCCGTGGGTTTTGTGCGTAAACCTTATCAGTCAGCCGATCACACTCAATTGACTTCGGCACAACCGCAAGTTCCATCATAAAGAATAAGTTAACCTGACCATTTTTTACGAGAGAGTGTTTCTAATGGCTATAGTGGGCTTTCAAAGAGAACTTTTGCAAATGGGAAAGACACTTCGGAAACATCCAATCAGTTTAGATATTAACAGTATTTAATTACTATTATTTTTCGGTGTGGTGGTGGGGGGGGGGGGCTAGACAGACGATATATTCGAATGGCGCAATAAGACCGACAGCGGGCACAATAAATTCGCGATTGATTTGGGTTTCAAAAATTTCTACGTGAGTCATTTGCATAAAAAGTGACCCCACAAATTTTTGTGAAAAAAGAGACCGTCTAGTTTAAAAATCGGTGGAATCGTGCAAATATAGCCGAAGATCCTCTCCCTAGCTTTTGGGCTATTATGTAAGAGCAAATTTGATAAAATTAAGGTAAAAAAATGGGTCCTATTTGCACGAGAAAATGTAGGGATGCCATTGGTGAATTTGGCAGCACGCAGGCTCAGCCATTACCAGCATACTCTCGTAAAAAGTGGTCCGGCCACCATTCTATACAAAACCGCATTGGCCGAGGGTTTTGTGCGTAAACCTTAGGCCGAAAAAAAAGTAGTTCTGCTCCTGATTACATGCCTTTCAAAAACAGGGTCGGTCGGTCGGAATTTTTTATATTTTTTTTGGCCAATTTTTTTTTTTATGCAGATTGAATGGGATATTCAATTATATGCGAAGTTTTAGCCTGAACTATTTCCATTGCACTACGAAAGCTATACACACAAAATGGGCACAAAAAGTGAATAAAACCTACATGTACCTTGATTATTGTCAATATATTTAAGTTTGTGATTCTTTAAAAATAATGGAAAATTCAGGTCGTTTGCACCATATGCACAACGCTAGTCCAGACGTGCAACTGGCCAAAACTCCGTAGTGTGTGATGCACTGTGCATGTGTGGCGTGCGGCCGACAGACCTTGTTTTTACTGTCGAAAATTTCGGGAAACACGCTGCATGTACATGTACATGTATCAATCCAAATACGAGTAGTGCGATCTCAAAATGAACTCTTGAACACGGAAAATACATACACAGACAAGCTAGATCAATTCTGTGAATTAACTTGCAAAAATGTTCTTTCTCCATCGGTGTTTTCTTGGCATTTTTACAATGTCGAATCCGACCAGTTGACAGTGCACCGGCCTGCAATGCATAGCCATGCTAGCGCTATAGATCGCATAGCCATGCACAGACTGGTTACCGCATTTTCATATTGTCTTCTATATTGGCCCCTGCGCGGCGCGGCGGGAACCAGTCATCCCTGCATTGAGCTAGGTTTACGCTCGTGACTATATAGTCACCGTGACATCGAATTGCGAAGATGTTACATCGCGAAGCAAATTTGTAAAAATAATGGAGCTTTCTTTTGAAAAAAAATAGCGAATAAGTAAGAAAACAAATAAATACAAGCATTTTTGATGCAAAAGGGTTGTTGAGAGGTATTTTGTGAAGACAGAAAAGACAACAAGATTTTATTTTGATTAATTCAATCATTAATTTTTTATATTTTTTTTTGGAATTTCCGATAAAATTTTTTGGGTCGCAGCCTAAAAATAGGGTCGGTCGGGTAACCGGAAGCCGAAGTATTTGATCACACTCAATTGACTTTGGCAAAACCGCAAGTCCCATCATCAAGAATATAAGTTAACCAGACCATTTTTTACGAGAGCGTGTTTCTAATGAAGATAGGTTTACATGGGTCTTGAGGGGAAGATGACTCAATTAGCCAAGACTTCACATCTGAAGGTTTTTTCCCCTAACCATAATTATTACTTCCTTTTGGTAATATGTGTTATAATTTATACTTTAACTTAAAAAACATTTTCTTCTCTGCTTTGCTTAGTCATTGTTTTACACATTGTACCAGGTCTCACTCTTAAACCTATTGTCCTGTCTTAGTCCGTGTGTAGTTGTTTAAGTTTTGTCCTGTCCCAGGGAAAGGTACAAAACGGTGCTTCACCTTTTTCCTTTATGTTGACTGTTCATTTAATATTTACACTTAATTACATACTGTCTGTGAAGAATGTTTTGTTTATACATATACTGTTTTCTGTCTGAATTGTTACCGAGGATGTCAATGTGAAAATAAATGTCAAATTGATTTGATTTGAATTGTGGATAAGGGCTTTGTGGATACATTGCACATAACAGTGACAGAATAACGATTGTTATGGAATGTTTGTCTATTTTGTAGGTTGTGTAGGACCTCGGTTTAATAACGATGGTGGCATCATTCCACATAGTATTCTTGGAAAAGTGGAAGACTTCAAGCTAGAAGCTGTGAAACATGGTCATTTTGAGGTATGGATTTTTCAGTTTGTCAATTAAGATCGTGTACATGCGTTTTCTCAGAATGTGTGTATACATGTGCAATTGCCTCATGCACTGTATTATTGTTGCCTGAGAACAAGAAAAGAATAGGGGTAGATAAACAGTGTATAAACAGGCTCATCACAAGAGGTCGGTGCCAATTTTAATAATTTGCCTCTATCATGTAACCATTTGACATGTCCATGAACAACCAGAAAAATGAATGCACAGTGATTGACATGTGTGCACACTTTTTCAATACATGTACAAGTTGTAAACCGAATGGATGCATTTCAGACAATTATTGGATGTAAATTGCAAATATTTCCACATACTAATCTTAGAAAAAATGCAATTAATAAATTTCTTGTTGAAAAACAACTGAATGTTTGCATTCGTTTTGGGGATTAATTATTTCGTTAAAAAAAACACACAAAAAACAACACAACAATTGTGCATAATGTACAGGTGATGTGTTATACAATGTGTAGTGAAAATTGACTGCTGTAACGTGGAGCTCAATAAAACTGTTCATCCAAGTGATCATTTGTAGAGCATTCTATTGCCCACCTGCTAAGTGAAAGCATGGAACAGTGAGAGGGGAAAATATTGAGAGAACTTCCTGCTTGTCAACTTGACCACGCATACTGAAATTTGTATCCTTGTGGAGACATTTCTTTGCTCTCATGTTCTGAAGTTTTCGAGTTTGAATGTACAGTTTTAAAATGCTCTTATTTTAACCAATATTAATTTCCTTGGCTGAAATTCGGACTTAATATCTCTTTTCTAAAACTCTGCCATTTGCGACAGATCAATACACCGTACCTTGGAAATTCCTAGTTTTTAAGTAAAATCCATATATGTATTTCGTGAAGACCTTGTGGAGATGTATTCATCTATAGAAATTGCCCTGTGGAGACGTATACAATCTTTTGTTCCCTATTGTGTGCATGTCTCCAGAGGGCACGGTGTATCAGATCAGCTGTGTTCATTAAGTTTGTACACATTTGTTTATTATATGTGTTTGTATTTGTGTTAATTTAACTAGACAAAGATAGACTCCATTCCAATCAGGCCAAAGACTCCAAGCTTGAAGTATGAGAAGAAACAGAAGAATGAACCTAAGCCACGAGACCCCTTCCTGGATGAAAATAATGCCCTGGTCAATTGGCAACTTAAGATGATAGAGAGGAAAAAGCAACAGGGCTTCATATCAAGTGAGAGCAATAGCATGATAATTTGGTTAATGCAGTTACATTATGCAGAAGAATGCTGCTTTACCTTATAACTTGCTTTTGGGTACTATTTTTCGTGAAAGTGGACTTGGACGAAAAGTGGAAATTTATGACATTTTCAGAACTACATACATCACAGCCTTGAATGTGGTATCAAATATTATTTGTGTGGTGTGCCAGTAAGTTGAACTATATAAAATAAATCCGCCAAATTTGTTTTGGCTAAATTAATGCGGTTTTAGGTAGTCATTTTGGCAATCATATTCTTTGTTTAAATTATTTTCTCTGTTTTTTGTGTGCGTTTTTTTGGGGGGAGGGTGTTTGTTTTTATTTGGCTTATTCTTGTAATTTATTGTCTCGCCCGAACGGAGTTCAGGAAAGAGACCATGCAATCACTACATGTCTGTACGTATGTCTGTACGTGCTGACCATAACCCGCATGTGGGGTGATGGTCCTTTCAGAACATCACCCCACTTGTGAAACCTATAGAAAAACATCACCCCGGATGTGAAATCTTTAGAAAAAGGGATAAAAGGAACACAATGCCATCACCCCACATGTCCTTTCCAATGAGTCGTCTGTATGTCAATATGTCCTTCCGTATACATTGTACATGTATGTGTGTGGTACATTGGTTAAAAACACACCGGTAATTTTTCCATTTTTCTAGCATCATATTGAGCATGTGTGCTTTAGAAACATGAAATACATGTTAACAATTGAAAAGGACCGGTGTGTTTGCTGCCACCACCATCTCAAAAGTCTCTTATTGGAACCAAACTTGAGTCATAGATGTAATATGGCAATCTTCATGATAATACTGTCAAAGGTCACATACCAAGGTCAAAGGTCATCTAAGGTTGAGTTGTCCACTAGACTGAAAATGTAAAATTGGTCTCATTTGAAAAGTTGATGTCCAATTTGAACAAAACTTAAGTCGTAGCAATGGCAACCTTCATATGATAATTATGTCAAAGGTAACATGCCAAGGTCAAAGGTCATTTGAGGTCAAGTTGTCAAATTGGTAGAAATTGTAAAATTGGTCTCATTTGAAAAGTTTAAGTCAAATGGGAACTAAACGTGAGTCATAGATGCAACATATGGCAACCTTCATACGATAATGATGTCAAAGGTCAAATACCAACTTCAGTTTTATTTTTACAGACCACATTCTCCAAGCTTAAATGTGCCACTTGATTCTCCACTTCTTGCTGCAGTTCACCGCAGTTCACTGTAATGTTTCCATCATGAGCAGTTCATACAATTCCACCCTCATTATAAACTAGACGTGTTGATTGTTTACAAACAATGCAGCTGGCTTTTCTGCCTTTCAAGATGTTAATTATCAGAAATACTCTTTCATTCAAAAAAATGAACACAAATGATATATACGGTACGTTTGGAAGATCATAAAGTTTCAGTTAAAATGTGTCAAATCTACCGATCTGCAGAATATTATCATGTCAGAAAACTAGTTAAATAGATGGACTTTTTCTTTGACATTAAATCTCATTAAAACACATTGATGGTGTACGTTTATCACAAATTTAGCAGTAAATTTTCCAACATAAATCGTGTTAGACAATGTTCAATCAGAATTTTGAGCCAATCAGACTAATAATTTCCTCAATGCAAGACTTTCAGATTTTGTGCAAGTAAACTCCGGCTAAACGGACATCATACAACTCGTCAAATCGTTCAAGTCGGCCGTCTGAATAAAGTCCCGATTGTCCGTAATGCATTTCCATTGAATTTTTTATTTCTAAGTTTGCATTTATAAGTCGCCATTTCGCTCAAGACGTCGTGTTACTGTCGGTCCCGTTTCCATAAAAAGCATTACAAAATCCTTTGCGTAAGTCGGCATTCAACAAATCACGCATTAGCATCGACTTCCTGTGCTGCGGTTTCCAAGAAGTGTCTAGTGAAAAGTGGTTTGGCACGGCCCGTGCCGTGATCGCTGCATATAGTGCATGTATCGGTGTCGAAAAAGGGTGTCCTACTGCATACATCCCATATATGCATTGTGAGCATATCAATACCAGTACCCCCTCTAGTCTATATGCATGCGCTCTGTCCATTTTGGGGGTCATCTTATGGAATGACTAGTGCTGCAGTCAATGCGTGCGTGGTATATACCGGACCACGCACGCATTTAATTTGTTACATGCGTGCACGTACATATGTTCGTGGTCTCCACTATATCAATACCCCAAACGTGATGATACAATTCGAGGATTAATTTGCTGGATTCAACTCAAGCATTACCCTTACCAAACTTGACTGCAGTCATTTGGCATTCCTTTAGCATGCAACTAACATGCGAATGCTATGAGAACTGCCATTTGATAGCATTCACAAAAAGCCATGTCTGTACTTCCTAAAGCATTTTTCATAGCATTCCTTGAGGATAGCAATCAGATAGCAGTTTTATAGCATGTCAGAAGCCCGAATTATGTAAATAAGCTGTAGCATTCGCATGCTATGGAGAATGCTATTTAGGCATGCAAACGTGAATGCTATAACAGCATTCGCATGCTATGAGAATAGCATTCGCATGCTATGAGAATAGCATTCGCATGCTATGAGAATAGCATTCGCATGCTATGAGAATAGCATTCGCATGCTATGATGCATGCTATGTGAATGCTATCATGACTGCTATATCGTGACATGGACACGGGCATCCTACAACATACATTTTCAATGTCACAATTTATACCAAAAATTACTTGTGTTATATCAGCTTTAATAATTTCATGTATTGAACCATATTTAACACAGCTAACACCATTTTGAAATTTAATAGACCTATGTATACAGACTAGCTGTGATCAAAATATATGAAATAAGAAAATTGTTCTTTAAGACTTTATCAGCCTCAGAATTGCTGTACAAACATGGGGACACTCTTTGTTTTTGTCTAACATTGTCATGCTTATAAAAGCAATGGCCAGAAATTTAATGCATCAATTCTCTGCTTATAATTTGAATTATCTTTGAAGCAACCAGTAGTCACTTTTATGCCAGTTGGCATCACAATTAAAAACATTTATCATCCGATATCCAGCTGATTCAAAAATTCAATCAATTGGATGAAGGAATGTTCAACATCACATACACCATGAACACTAACATACTCAAAGCCAGAATAAAATTGTCTTTATCTAGCCAAAAACTGAATACCCACCATGTAGGAATATAGACCCATTGGTAGAACAAACTGTAGACTTACCAAATACAAGCAATTTGTGAGTGTGTTGCATACATGTGTATGGAGGCTCCATATTGCTTGGTTCAACTGTTGCTTTTAAGTTGTCAATTCCAAAGACTTTCAGCCAGTCATCCAGTGTATTTTGTCATGTACATGTACAACAATGTACAGGTTGAGTGCATGCATGTGAACATGAAATTATATCCACAAGCATTCATGCCATAAGGTAATGTCCATGCTTTCTACAATTTCTTGCAAAACTATGTGCAGCCTATACTGCACTCTGCACTGACGATATTCAACTGACTGCAGTTTTCAAATTTCCCACACTGACTGTTAATCTGTGGAATGCACAAGGCCATCACTGATCATGTGACTTGTAGTCCATGATATGATTGGCTTATATATTGAAGTGCTATTGTGCAGGCTATGCTTAGCCACGGAATGCTATACTTTAAAATTATTTTACAATTGACTGCTAAATTGGAATGCTGTACTCAATTTGCAGTCCTCCCTCTTTCACTTGCATGCTATGCAGAATGCTTTGAAGCCCGCATGCTATTTGGAATGCTATTTTCATTCTGCATGCTATTGAGAATGCTATATGGACTGCTAAAGTTAGCAGTCATCCAGTCATCATCTTCTGTGAATGCTATGTGGATGCTATAATAGCATGCACATGCTGTTTAAATGCTATTGAACTGCTATGCACATGCTATTATAGCAGTCTAGTTTGGTAAGGGTAAGGAGATACACCAGGGTAAATCGAAGCCAATTAGTGCAATGAATCATGTGTGCAAAAGGCCATTCATATAAGTCGGCAAAATGACGACTTACAGCAGATCTCGGCATTAGTAGCCGTCACAATTTCTCAGGTCCCGAGAGTGCCGACTTAGCCGGAGTTTACTGTACTATTATCTACCCACCCAATTGGATACTGTTTTGGGTCGACAAATATTTTGTCTTTGTCTGATTCGTGACTCTGGAGGATTGTTTTCTTTGTATAAACTCATACATTAAAAAAAACCAGCAATCAAAATCGTATAAAATCAATCACACATGTAGGTGTAGCCTAACATATGATGACGTCATCAAGATGACACTTGAAAACAATCACACGTATAATTTCTTAGTTTGTGTCAAATCTGGTCTTGATCTGATGATCAAAGCAGTGGCAACTTTCCTCAGCAAGGTTTCAAAATCATGACGTCATCAGACCGGAAGTTACTTGCAGGGAGAATTTGAAAATGATAATTTGTTATTTAATTCTATCATTCGATCCCTGTGTTATGATTATGTTCCCAGTCAAAATAATGATCTGTTACAATGTTGATCTTTGGATCTCTAATGTTGTCTGCCCGACCACTCTGCATTTGTAACTCAACAAATGCGAACCTCTTGTTTATTATGATGTTTCAAAATGGTCAGTAGGCTTTGAATATAGTAACTTCCATTACAATGACGATGTGATAAGCCATTTGCGAGTGACCTATACCCTTTGGGATTTAAAATTGAAAAAACATCTGGTACACCGACTTGCTCAGAATGTTTGGCACATTTTAACTTTGAATTCTCCAGACCAAAGACACTGTTTCTAAAATCACATGATTTGGGGCAAGCTCTTGCATAGTTGCGTAAGAGACGCTCAGCACCAATACATCGTTCACAATGGGTGAGAATGGCACAAGACACCAGAGCATGCCAGAGCTGAGGGTTGCTAGCGTAAGGCTTGCCTTGAATCACGTGATATAGTAACAGTCTCTTTGGTCGGCGGTCGGGAGAATTATGCAAAGTTTAAACATGCAAAGCATTGAATGAAGTCAGCGTTCCAGATTTAATTCAAATTTAACTTGCAAATTGCTTATTGCCCACTTGCAAAATGTCACAATACCCATGTTATCAACGTGCATATTGCCATGAATTATGTTTAAAAGCTTTTACAATTGTAAGAAATTTAATGTATTCAGTGTGTGTGGTCCAACTTCAAGTTTTGACAGTTATTAAGTTTTACAGGAATCCACTTTAAATCCAGGCTTCTGGCAGAAGTGAGATTTATGTCAGTTGTATTTTTGGGGATTTATAGTGGTTATTAACAGTCAGTAACATTGGGCCAAAAATGGGGATTGACATTGTTGAGTGCATGTGGTTTGAGTGCATGTGGTTTGAGGAATCAGATTACTTTCATCAAGATATTAAAAACTGTGCAAGATACCAGGGTAATTTACAGTTGTGTTACGCTAGCATTGTGTTCTTATTCCAGTCTCTGCTAGATTTAAAGTAGTTTCCTAAAAATAGGTACGCAACAATGATTCAGATTTACTTTTTGGTGAAATGTAATGTGTGTTTCTTAAATTTATTTTTCAATGTGTTAACACAATTGTATGTATTTACAGAGTTACTAGAGAAGCCAGTGTCATCTTTAGTGATGAACCATGGTGATGATTACCGTAAAGTACAGGAAGATCGCTACCTCATCGAAAGGTCAATTCCAGCAGTAGACTATGGACGAGGATGTAAGTAAACATGCACAGATGATTAAAAAAAAAAGTCCAATTTTCATTTTGTCCACGGTCTTTATTGTCATTTATTAGGAATGTAATGGATTTGGGGTGAGGGTAGTTTTGCTCTCTGTCGTGTTTCTTTATATGGTTCTTTTTTGGTTTTAACTCTTTTTTTTTTAACAATGGTTATTTCTCCTTGTGGAAGAAATATTAGTCCTGAAAAGGACAGTTTGGTTAAACTTCTTACGTTTACTCTTCTGCTCTGCCCTCTGTTAGTAGCCTCTTTCAGGGATGCAATCTCCGGCCCGTGTTCTTATTGCAGCAGTCAAATATCACTCGCCGTGGACAAAATAAAAAAAACGGCACTTGTTTTCAATTGGCCAGATATCAATAATATTTATCCAATTAGAAACATGTTTTCGTTGTTAAAAAACTAATGAACTATACACATACTCTCCAAATGTGTATTGATATTTGTGATTTATCATTTTATATGCTGTAAAAAAGATGGCACTTTGAGGGGTTGGGGGGGGGGGTTTGGGGGGGACACTGAAGTGCAAAAGGCACAATTTTGCAGTGGGTGTTTGATGCAATTCTGTGAGCTGCTGCTATCACAAACAGAGCCATCCTTTGTTAAAAGCGATCTAATAATGTGTGGGGGGGGGGGGGTTGTTTAAATTGAGGGACTAAGGTTTTGCTTTAAACATGTGAGATAAAGGTATAAATTATATTAAATTCACCTCTTGGAAAAATTTGGTGTTTTGTTATGCAGTCTGCAAATTACAGGTAATTGGCTGTAATTGTTCATTCTGTAGGTGGATATTTTTTTGAGTAGGTACTAAATTTCAGTGCCTGTCCTTCTTTGCTAAAGGCTTTAGAACTTCCTTGATGTCCAATGTCCACAACAAAAAACTATTTGTTTGTTTCAATGAACTACCATTGGACTACTGTTTGGTTCCATCTCGATGATCATTTACTAGAGTGAATGGGCAGTACTAGGAGAAACAGAATTGGGTCTTGCAGACAAGGAGCTGCCATGATGAATGATGATGAATGACTGGGCAGAGACTGCTAAAGAGTTTTGCATTACCCTGGACAATGATAGCACACAATATTCATGACCTGCACCCGATTTCACGAAGCGCTGCGACGCGTCGCAACTCGAGTTACGACGTGAAACACGTCGCAACTCGCGACGCGTCGTATCTTCCATTTCACGAAAGTTGCGATGTGTTGAAGGCGTCGTAAGTTCCTTGACAACGGCTTAAAACACGTCGCAAGTTAAGACGTGTCTAGTGGTCGTCGCAAAATAAGAAGAGTCATTTCTAAGCCAGTTTTATGCCATAAACATTACATTAACGAGATTATAATACCGAGGCAATGTGTGTAAAGTTGTAAATAGAAAATTCATTGAATAATTATGAATTAGACCGGAATATTAGAATTGAAATTTCAAAGTAGCTATACAGTCCAATGAGAGTTTGTTTTCCTTCAAAGTTGCATCGCACGGCCGCCATTTTGTTTTACGTTTTAACAAATTTCGAGCTGAGATCCGACGACTGTTTGTTGAATATCAGACGACTATTTACTGTACGCTGACTAAATACATAAAACAGTCACCGAGTTGTGCTATAAATACACCTACGACGCGTCGCACTTACGACGTGTTTTGTGAAATGGATCGCAGGACGCGTCGCAGCTGCGACGCATCGTAGAGATACGACGCGTCGCATCGCTGCGATGCATCGTAAGTTACGAAGAGTTTGATGAAATCGGGTGCAGGGCTCGTGGATTATGGCTCCTGAGCTGTTGTGAAGTGGCATTGTGTGCGAATTATCTTGGCAGAGTCTTACGGGCATGGATATAACAATACTGAGAAATTTAAGAAACCATCTGATAATTGAAACAAGCCTTATATTTACATCCACATACCGGTACCTTTTGTATCTTGCCACTCAGGTAAAATGCAACAACGATTTAGAGGTTGTTTAGCAATAAAATTGTTAGCTCCAATGTTTACTTAATTATACCTTACTCCCTAGTGTCTTTTACTGGGAACTGGAGCAAGTCCATAAAAATCCATCAATCACTGTGGTTCCAATACAAAACTGTGCATGACATAATGGAATCCACCGACCCACTGGTTGACATTCATGGACTTGCTACACATGGCTTTTATCACAATAGCAATACAGGAAGCTAGATAAAATCAATCGATACCCCTAGCACTGCTTCAGGCCATTAGGCCCAAGTCCATCATACTCCATCAATATTAAGTTACACCAGGCCTGCAAAACCAATGCCCCCAATTCCACCAAAATGTGGGGATGGATTTGGATGGAGTTGGGGTGGTTAGGGTTAAATAGGAATGCACAGCCCTAATGGTTGGCTAAGCTTTTGATTTAATAGGATTGAAGACACCAGTCCATGAGAAGTCCTAGCCTTTGATTTGTTAACCCTCCTGCTGTTTGAACAGTCACAGACAGTAAAAAAATATCATTCCGCTCCCCTGCCATGCCTTTTACACAGGCAAGTCACCAACGGTCAGATCATATTTCATACTGTGACTAGTCAAATTCAGTCAACAGACAAAAGCAGGCAAGAAGAAGGCACAGCTGACTTCAATCACCTACAGTCAAAGCATAGCTGTGTCAAGTTACAAAACAGTCATAGCAAATCAGTTCTGTTTAAAATGTAGTCTTGGAGTTCTTAAGGACAACTTTGCACAGAATGTATGTTTGCATAGGAGGTGTTAAGGTTTTTTTTTTTATTGTTACTAGAAAGATGCGTAAAAGTGGAATAAAACAAAAATGACTTGAAATTCATTTTTTTAGAACATGTTTGACAATGTTGTTTGACTTTGTAGATCGTATTGGCAGTGAGTTCTGGAATCAACAGGAAAGAATTGGAGATGACATATCAGGGATTCAGTAAGTTATATTCCGTATACATTTACAATGGGCAATTTTTTTTTTAAAAGGTCTAATCGATGGGTTGGGTGATAATTTCTTTGCCTTCATGAGTCGGCCATCTTGATTCGAAAGTGCATGAGGAGCTCCCGTTGGCATTGACCTCAACAATACACAACTTGGCTATGAGCTCTGGTGTAATTAACGAAAACAATACAAACACCGTTTGTGCAGGTACGGATCCAGAGAGGGAGTTTTGGGGGTGGACCCCCCTCCCCCTGCTCTGACACCCAAAACAATTTTTACTGGCAATAATATATGCCTGTGCACACAATTCAGACAGAGAGGGCTGGGTGACGGGCATATTTGCATGGGCGTGTAAGGGGGGTATTTAATTATTGTTTTTAATTTCACGTCTGTATCGCTCTGAAAAGCACCATATATTGTCTGTTAGTGTGCATAATCGTCCTCCCCCCCCCCCCCCACTATATTATTTTACGGAGGCAAAGTGTCTTGAAAAAAATAACGTGTCTACATTTCAGTATGGATGTGCAAGTGCCCTTTTCAAGAAATATTTATCCCCTTCCCTCAATAAAAATGACCTTGCTACGCCACTGATTTGATGACACTATTCTGTAATAAAGTGTTAATAATTGTTGGATTTGAACACCACCCCTATTGAAAGTATGGTATAAAGTATGGTACGCCGCCACCCCCACCCCCCCCCCCCATTCATGTAAATGAAATCATTGAGTGTGCGTGTATGTTTTGTCTAAAATGCTCGTGTATTTCTGAGTATTTAATGTTATTGTTTGTTGTAACAAATGTATCCCGAAAAATGAAATAAATGAAATAAATGAAATACATGAAATACATGAAATACATGAAATACATGAAATACATGAAATAAATTAAATAAATTAAATAAATTAAATAAATTAAATAAATTAAATAAATTAAATAAATTAAATAAATTAAATAAATTAAATAAATTAAATAAGTTAAATAAGTCAAATAAGTCCAATAAATCAATTAAATCAAATAAATCAAATAAATCAAATAAATCAAATAAAATGAAATGAAACTCTCCGTGTTCCAAGCCATATGCTGTGTCACGGGGTGGTGGATCACGGTGTGAGCTTGCCACATGCATGTGCTGCCGGAATGTTTGGGGAAATCATGCAGACTACTCAAAACATTACAAATCCGAGTTTCATTAGTGCTTGGAATAAATACATAGAAACAGAAAACAAATATGTGCACTAGCTGAAAAGAAATTTTCCAGTATTGTGAGATTACTAGCTGAATGGAAATTTTACTTTTAGATACATGTCTTTGTATTTTTCTGGCAGTAGATGTTGTTGCCAAGTTAGACTTGAAAACAAGTTGGTGGTTTGCCAGGTTTAGTGTGCGTGCTGTGCCGCGTACCACCGGCATTGACTATACTAGCCGCATGCTTACGCTCTGGTGTCAATTGTATATTACATTAAAAGAAGTGATTCACAATACCGCTTAACTGTCGTTAGAGGGCTCAAATCAACAGAAACCCACATTGCATTGTGGGAAAAAGTCAACATCATGTGACTCTGTTCTATAGCAATCACGTGCAGCACTAAAACATCATGCCTTGTCCAAGCTTTCTCAACCAAATCTTGCAACTCTCCCTTCTTGTCATTACATGGGATGCCGCAATTATTCCAATATTTCTTCAGTTCGTTGACTCACATCGATCTTACTTGCTGAATGTCTGCCATCTTGAAAGTGCGGTAATGCGTTGTGTAGGCCCTAGTTACCAATGTCAACCTGAGAGCCGGAAATGCAGTTTTTTTGGGATCATATTGGGGGGAAAGGGGTGAGGATGTGCTGGGGTGCACTAGAGAACTGAGCAGCTCCTTCTCCACTGAAATAACCCATTGCATAGCACAGCGTCTCAAGTCCTACTGTCTGGCTTCCCGTGCCGACGCTGTTTTTACTGAATGATGGAGGATGCAAGCGGGTCCCTTGCGCTATAACCAGGTACTCCGGGTAGGTGGAGCTCGTTAGTCTTGGTTTACAATCCACCTAGGAGAAGGACAACTCTGTTCACAAACCCGAGTAGGTAGAATTTGTCAGTCTAGGTCGGCAGTCTGCCTTGGAGAAGGAGAACTGATCGAGGTAGAACTCGTCAGCCTTTGCAAATGCCACCACCTCAAAACCCGCTGTCCTGTGGGATAGGTGCAACACAAAGGGCGGATGATTGCCAGGAACCCCCGGCATCCTCCGGCTAGCCACTGCAGGGTCTAAAGTTCATGCCTGTCTTGACATGTTCTTGCCAGTGTGAGATAACTCTAGCTCCAAGAGAGAGTGCTGATCGTAACTTGCAAAAGCTATCAGCACTTTAACATTCTTGCAAGCAGCTTTCATGAAATGTACAAAAGCAATTATCTCCATACCAGCTCGGTGGGTATGGAGATAAGCTAGGAAGTAAAACATTCGGAGAGGAGAATGTCTCTGAAGGTTGCTCAATGGAACGTTAGGACTCTTCTCGACAGAGAAGCAACTGGCCGACCTGGAAGACGTACAGCATTGGGTAGCGATGGAGCTTGAGAAATACCAAGTTGACATTGCCGCCTTATGTGAAACACGTTTTTCTGAGTCTGGCAGACTCAATGACCTGGAGTACACCTTCTAGAGTGGCAAGTCTGATGGCGAATGCAGAGAATCTGGAGTTGGATTTGTCATCAGGAAAGACATAGTATCCAGACTTTTGCCTAAACCAGTGAGTGACAGGACTACAATGATGAGACTACCACCAAAAAATAACTGCAGTGCCCCTATAATCAGTGTATATGCACCAACTATGACAAACCCAGATGAATCAATTTTTTAGGAAGCCTTCTACAACCAGCTGGCTTTCATGCTACAAAACACCCTTTGCACGGACAAGCTGCTACTCAGATTGGGGACTTCAATGCCAGAATAGGAAAAGACCACAGTAAATGGTCCATGGTCATAGGTAAACATGGTATTGGCAGTTGCAACACGAATGGTGAACTCTTACTAGCTCTTTGCTCTGAATTTAAGTTGATAGTAACAAACACAATGTTTAAACAGAGGGACAACCACAAAACCACCTCGATGCACCCTCGTTCCAGACATTGGTACATGATCAATTACATCATTACAAGGCAAAGAGACAAGTTGGATATCCATAGCACCCGAGCTATGCGTGGAGCTAATTGCTGGACTGATCACCAGCTTCTAAGATCCAAAGTCAGCTAAGAAGCCAAAGACAGCTTATTACAGGAAAACGTTAGAACAGGAGATGGAAAAGGCACTAGACAAATGGGAGATGCGAGAAAGTTTGTGGCTGGACCAGGAGTGGACGTCTCTCAGAAAAGTTGTGTATGACCAACACATATCTGCTTTTGGTAAAACCAATCAAAAACATCAAGATTGGTTTGATCCTGAAGATTCCACACTGAAACAACTTGAGAAGAAAGACCAGGCCCACCAAAGAGTGTTACAGACTAGAAGTACTAGATCTACTGTGACAGCTTATAAAGATGCTTGCAGGCTGTTACAAAAGTACACTAGAAAACTGAAATCAAACTGGTGGGAGCAGAAGGCACAAGATCTACAGCGGGCAGCAGACAGGAATGATATGAAATATTCCTATCAGGAACTCAAAGAAGTTTGGGGTGCACAGAAAAAAGGCTTGGTTCACCTGAAGTCATCTGATGGAAAGGAGATCTCAGACAGTAAGAGAGTCCTAGAGAGATGGACGGAGCATTTTCAGAAGCTACTCCATGTACCTGGTGATATTGAACCCATACATGGCGATCGTTCTATCCACTCTTTTGTATGGTGCTGAAACATGGACGCTGTACAGAAGACATGTGAAGAAACGTACTACACACCTTTATGATGAAACACCTCAGATCAATAATGAAAATCACCTGGAAGGACATGGTAACAAACAGGGAGGTCCTCGAGCGAGCAGATCTGCCCTCTATGGAAGATCTCCTTATAAGAAAGAACCCCCGGTGGGCAGGACACCTGCTGAGAATGCCACATGAACGGCTACCAAAACAGATCCTCTACTCTCAACTCCCTGTTTGGGTGAGAAGACGAGGCTGCCCTTGCCTACGTTACAAGGATACTATCAAGAGGAATCTTGAACAGAGGAAAATTCCTGGTCATCCACCCAAAGAGATTGCTGAAGAGCGGCTGTCAAATGATATGGAAGCAGTCTTTGTCGGTACGCCACTGACAGCATGATGATGATGATTGGGGGCATGCCATATTGTGAATTGCTTGTATTGGCAACATTGCACAGAGAAATTGGCATAAATCATATGGAGGGGAATCAAATTGGTGTATAAATCTTTGGAAAACTTTTTTTTTTTAGCTGCAAAAAAATGGTTGTAACTTTTTTCTTAAAAAAGAATTTAACCCCTCAAAAGTATGCAACAAAAACATTTGCAAAAACAAACTAAACAGCACTAACGTGACTGCAGACGTTATGAGACTTTCCAAGAAAAAGAAATTACACTCTAGATTTCAACAATATGACACAAGAAATAATGTCAGCATGCATATGCTTCCTGAAAAAGACCCAAAATGGGAATGTCCCGTGGAGCTTATCCCATTTGCCACACACTTCAACATTTCAACAACAATGGGGCTTTTTTATAGTTACTATCAGTGATAGGTATGTAAAGTAGGGTATGTTAACTAATAACATCAGAAAAACCCTTATCACTTCAAAGGTTGGTTTACCTTTTTGAAAAGCCTCCTTTAAACTCAAGGAGAATTTTCACATGGTGCTTCTGTAAACTTCATCCTATTGCTGTCTTCACCATGCAAACCTTATCTCACATTTATCAGCTTTAATTATAACCATTTTAAAAAAATATTGTAAAAATTGTATTGGATTGCAGTGTTTGTAGTCGAATTGCTTGAGTCAAGTGTGAGTGTCTGAGTCATTTAGTTCTAGTCCTAGTCACAAGAAGTCATGAGTCATGTTTGAATCAAGTCCAAGTCCAGCCATGACAGTTCAAATATCCATGTGCGTGTAATGGTAATGCATGCAAACTGCAAACAATGTACACAAAACCCGAAGTGATACTCATATCTATCAGCACTTCTGCTTAAAGAAGTATTACACTCGATCCAGCAAAGGGGGATCGGATCCTGCAGTCGCAATAAAACCACAGGGAAGCTAACTGCAAATAAACTGTACCGTGTTTACACTCGATTCCGATCTTGCTTCGATCCCCAATTTTACAAGAGAAGGAAGGTCATTGAGTGTACGCAGAAGATTTTTCGCGCGTGAATCGGTGCAGAAACATATGATTGTTGTTCATTATTGATGATGCTATTGCAACTCTGTTGCTCTCATTGGTTGCCTACTGTTACGGTGAATCAAAAAGGCGGCTTTAGTTAGTATTTTAATCACGATGGTCCCCCGAATTTTGTCCTAATCTTCATCAGTCCTCCACCCATTGTCTACACTAGTCCTCGAATGACATCGCTGTACCGTGACGTAGAAGCCATGACCAAATGACAAAGTTCAGTTGCCTTTCAGAGCACTTGTTTATACACTATTTAGTGGTATTTAACTCCCCCCCCCAAAAAAAAAATTCAACAATTTACTGGGAATATAAAAAGATCTAGCGAATCAAATCACGAATCTAAAACAACATACATGTGGCATAAACAGGAATAGATAAATTATCAGATTTGGGAACTTGTCGTGGTTAGCGATTTCATGACGATTGTGTATAGTTGCGGGCCCCGTTCTGGTCTTAGTAAAGAAAACGTAAACCACATATCCAGGCTATTGGAGTTACCCTACTAGTAGTCGATTAGGGTTTGAATTTAGGGAGTCTTTGGGGGTAAAATAGCGACGAAGATGACTAAACGCAACACAAAAATAACTAGGCCCTAAACCGCATTGCTTCGCATGGCATCAACAGAAAAATGCATAAGAAAATTGCTTTTTCTACCCAAGGATTATGTTCAAAATTACAAAAAATAGGTTTCACAGAATTTTAAAAAAGACAACTTAAGGTTGCAGAAATCATTTTGAAATGACCAACACACTTTAAGGACTAAAACAAAAGATGCGCCTATCACTACACATTCTCCGGTTTCATGCACGTGGACGAAACACAGATTAATTCCAGCAAAGTGCAACCATGCATATTTACTGTGCACAGACCATCGCAGCACACACCTCCCTGGGCGGTTCAATAAACAAACTTTTCACTGACTTTTTCTATGCTGACCCAGATGGTTGTGGCAAATTGCAGGGTCTAATCCACCAATTGAGTTTATACTTAGACATTGCAAGATCAGATCTGGATCTGATCTTTCCTGAAAGGGGTATCGAGAAAGGTAGATCTTTCCTGAAAGGGGTATCGAGAAAGGTGGATCAGATCCGGATCAGACGATCCAACCTCGTGGTTACATTTGCCATGAGATCCCCCTTCAATCCCCCTTGCAGGATCCAGTATAAACGGGGTGTGAGTGTAGCATAGGCTCGTGGGATGTTATTGATCACTGCCCATAAACTCAAGCTGAGCATCAAAAGCGAGCCTGGCCTGACCACATCACACCACAAAATGGGGACCCCATCAATCTTGAGTAGGCCCAAAAGTCATATTCCAAAATTAAGCTTATAATCATAATGTCCAATATTATAATTACATGTGTACAATCAAAAGAGCCATGTTCTTCCAGTGTTTCTTAATTCGATCTTCAGTGATCTTGGGATATAAAATGTAGCAAACTGGAACATTACGTAGATAACTCCACACAGTGCAATGTCTCTGTTATGTACACTGTTATATCACAAACATTTGGTCATTACAAACATTCATTTAGTGTCTTTGATCAGTTCAACCAAAAACACGGTTTTTATTTTAGAGTAGGCCGTTTCCCAGTCCCTACATTATCCAATTTGATAGGGGCAGAAACTTGTCTTCCCTTTTGTACAATATTTTATTAAATTATAACAATTTTTGTGTTGCAATAAATTGAAATTTTAAAAAGGCTGACTGCGCTGATTTTGTTCTTAATTTTTATTATAGCATTATGCTTGGTATTGTGGTCTGCTGTTAAAAACAATGCACATTTTTAGTGTTCCCAGTTTCCACATTATCACTTCTGAAAAGGGCAGATACCTATCTACCCTTTTGTAGAATGTTTTATTAAAAAGTGAACAACATTTGTGTTGCTGCAAATTAAAAAAAAAATTGTAATCACTGTGCTGATAGGAGGTTACAAAGGTACAAATACAAAGGTAGAGGTTATTAAAATTGACATTTGACTAACATGCAGCAAATAATGATCTTCATTATTGTATTTATAGCATGACACTTACTGAGACTGAGAGGGGTTACCCCCCACCCATTGAACATGTTGGTCAGCCAGCAGCTGTTAAAATGGAAATGGGTAAGTTTGAACATGTGATGATTAGGGTTTTGTATTTGAATAGTAATACACCCAGCCAATTTAAAAGGTGTTTGAAATGAATTTTTCTTGGGAATATATTTTGTGCAACTGTCTACTCTTAAATGTATGAAAACTATTTGACATCCCTATTCGGTGTAATACTTTTATTGAAAAGTGCATGTCTTTAAACATTTAAAATTGTCCATGATTTCCGGAGGGCGCATTTGCTATGATGTCATTTCAGAAAAACACTGTTCAGTTTTTAGGGGTTTTCAATTTGTGAACCCCAAAAATTGTTCATTAACCCTAACTCCCTAGCATGATTTACTAGGAACCATACCCATCCTGGCAAATTTCAACACCATATGGGAAACTGTGCACACACATTTCTGACTTAGTTTCTGGAGGTGTGCCAACCCAATGTAAAAGACTGTCAGTTTAGGGGTACTGTACCCATCCAGACAGATTCCAACAATTGTACATAGGCCTACTGTTGGGGCTTGATGGGTTGAGTTCTGTTAGGGTTGAAACACCTGGGAGAAAAGTTTGCTCACTGGCTTACCGCCATGTACAGATGAATCACCCCAGAAAAGACAATTTAGGACAGGAAAATATCAAAAATTCTGGCAACTTTTTGTGCTGAAATACAGGTAGTGTAACATTTGAGGTTTCTGCCTGATATATATGACTCAAAGCTTTGCGTGGCGGATGAGATAAATTATAAAGTTTGCGGGTAACACCTAGTCTGAGTATCACCCGTTATCCATGGGCCAAGTCTCCTGCATAACGTCTGATATGTCAAAGCATTGCAGATTTGTGCAATCTCACGCTTCAGCCAATCGGAGTCGACTTTACTAAATTGTGATGTTATTTCATTCCCAAATCAGGACTTAAACTGTGATTGGTCAACTCGCGCGAATCCAGTGTTTCCAGTGAATCGCGTACGTGTCGCGTAACATAATAGTGTGTGACCAAAGCCATTGTTGCTGTGTCTAGCGGGGTTATTTTTATCCATGTCTAGAAGCGACAAAGGTGAATGATCGAACACTCGACATAGAAAGCGCCCACTGATTGGTAAAAATCTAGAGGTCAAGATGCCGTTGTCTTGACTAATTAATCAGCAAATCAGTTCATATGTAATAGACCGTGGCTTTCCCCACGGTCAATTACATAGACTAGGTAACACCATGTGGAAAGAAATCTCTTCTTGGAAGAAGTATTGTTCAGAAAAGAATCGATAAGTTACGGACAGTGTGCTCTGTCCGTCCTCAGGCCCAACCTCCTGACCAACCAGTTCTTTTCAGCACCACACTTCTTCCAAGAAGAGATTTCTTTCCGCATGGTGTTACCCGCAAACTTTATAATTTCTGTTTCTGCCTGAAATGACATCACTCTTTTGCTTATTAATATGATGATGTCATCAAGACATCACTTCAGGGGGGGGGGGGGCATGAAACCTTGTCGCCCCCCCAGTCGCCCCCACTGAGATTTTGAGTTTCTAAAAAAATTATCATTGATCTACATGAAGCCCCCCCCCCCCATGAAATGTACCAGCCCCCCCCCCCCCCCCCCCCCCCCCCAGCTACGCCACTGCTATTTTCTGACGTAAATGTAATACCGGTAATGCATGAGATAAAGGAAATGGATGTACCAGTTGCAGATTCTTTTTTTAATTGAATTGAGCTCACTTTCACAACAAAACGAGAGCCACAAGATCGGTCAATAGGCTTTATTCACTGGTCAGCCATATTAAATTGAAAGCGAGGTAAACTCTTCATTTTTATCCTCTTGGCTGTAAGCTGGAGGGGGATATTGCGATAGCGTATACATGTACATTCCTTCTTTGTGTATATGTGTACCAACCTTGCCATCTTTGTTTGGACCTAACAGCAACAGGTCCACATAATGCAGGTTGTGTTAACGTTAGGTGGACTAAGCCAGGTCCAAATGAGGTTTCGCCCTCTCTGGAAAACAGGTTTAGAGGCATTTTTGGGTTAGGGTCATTTGTTGCAAAATGAAGAGGAACACCCAAAGAAATCAGGATAAATATTTGGTTTGAGAGAGTTTACAAAGTGTGAGTAAAAAAATTTTTCCTCCGGTTTTCCTTTAACTGTGCGAAAACAAGGGAATGTTATGGCTACCGGGAACAAAGGGCAACATTAGGGACAATGGTACCCTGCAAGTACGGTCTCTAGAAATTAAGGTACATGTACCCCATAGCCCTAAGGCTATGTACATTGTATTTTGAGATTTCTAAGGGAACAAAGGAGAATAGAATAAGGGAATCAGGGTCAAACAAAAGTGATACCCCATAAACCCAAAATGCTATTAGTGTGCATTTGTTTATGGTGTAAATCGAGGACACACACGTGCAACATCATTGGTGAATCTACCCCTACCCCTTCCCCCTACCCCCTCCCCCTCCTCGAATCACTGTTCTGCCTACCAGTATCAACTCATGATGATACCTGCTTTGCATCCTCTCATCCAGCATAGATGCCCTGCCACACCTCTTGACAAGCAGCCATGCTGCATTTCCCACTTCACTTAATACTGCCAAGGATCCTGTCTGCTGCAAGCCCCTACAAAAGTGTCCTCCAGCATTGTGATCCCTCTACACCGGCAGGAGTTCAGTCTGTGTTTTACACACTCTCCATGCCCCATGACCACTAGTTTCACTGAATTCAGCGGCTAAAGCCCCACAACACAATATTGCTACTGTCCCTGCATTTTTCAGGGTGCAGTCTTTGGAGCCTAAAATAGTAGCACACTTAGGTCAGCCCAGCATCGGAATTGAGTCAAATTTAGTCCTTCCACAACATCAGCGGTACGTCGACAAAAAACATATTTTCCCGCCCATGTTGGTTCGACTTCGTTAAACAGGGAATATGCAAATCCCGCCTGCGTCGGCTGAACGTCAGGCATCCGCTGTCGGCTGGATAGTGGACCGGCATTGCACCAACCTCACCATTAAAACTGTGGCCCGACATTGATACGATGTTCAGCAGACATCACATTACCGTCCTGCCGACAGAGGCCCTACTTAAAACCGACGTTGTCATACCAACCACAAAACGACTTTCTAACGACGTACTGACATGACAGTGGCCGGACGTCGGTAAACGGGGCATATGCAAATCCCGCATCGGCTCAACATCAGCATCCGCTGTTGGTTGGATATTATTGGACCAATATTGCACCAACCCCACCTTTCACACTGAGACCCAACATCAATACTATGTTTAGCCGACTTCACATTTACATTTTCCTGCCAACAATGGCCCTACCTATAACTGATGTCGTCGTACCAACGTCAAAACGCTTTCAAAATCACGACTTTGTATGGACGTGCAGATCAGCAAACAAACTACGTCGGCACAGTGTATTATAAAGACACACTATCCAACTTCCCCCCAACCTCGTTCCGACTTATTTAGCCCATTTACCAACTTCCAAAATCCATTGGCTCTACATTAATGAGACCCCTTCCCACCTTTCCTCCAACGTCGTACCTATTAACATATTCAGCCCATTTACAGACTTCCAAAAACCGTTGGCCCGACATTAAAAAAATATCTTGACACCTTTCCCCTGACGTCGGCCCAACTGCAATATTACTAGGCCCGACGTTTAAAAGACCCTTTCCGATCTTCTACCCGACGTCGGCCTGAGCTGACTGTGTGATTTAGCCCGTTACACTGACTCCCTAATCTCTGCTTCCAACCTACATCACAGGAACAATGGAATTATATACAGCAACAGATTTAACATTCGGTATACATACAGATTTTAACAACCATAATAATCTGAACATGTTCATTGCGGCGAGATAACAAATGTATCCGTGGGAATTTGTAACACTTGTATTTTGAATTCTGCGTAATAACAGAAGTTGCTCACAATCTCTTTCTCATTTTAAATCTCACGTTGAAATTGATTGATATGCCTGACAAACTTTACATTTGTCCACAATCATTTACAATATCCTTAACCCTCACCTAAATATGCCCATTCCAAATCACAATCCTGCCTGGGATGTCCTCTATTTAAATGTTCAAGTAAGTCCATAGATCGATAATTGTTATGAGCGGTTTGGCCATTCTTTGGCTGCTCAGGATTTTGTTTGCTGCGGCTTAGAAACATTTTCATTTGTCAACGAGAAGTGTACTAGCTTGTTACATATTGAAAACAATTTTAGGATCAAAACTTGGTCACACCTGAGAAATTGCACACAAAGGCTACACTTTTCTTTAGACTATATTCCAACCTGGAGCTAACCCAACTACGTTGCATTTGCCGGACAAAAAAACCCAATCTTATATAGACCAGAGCTGAAAAAATTCAAGCCGGAGCAAAATGTGAGCATTGAGCATTGACCATCCTTCAACCACACCGTAAATGTCGAAGGTGAATCTTCCAATTATTAGGGAAATGCATATCTATTCTGCCAGTTAGAATTAAGATTGGTTGGTTATGGGCATATCTAACAAAACTGAGATGTCAGACACCCACAAATAAAGATTCATCAAACAACTAGACAAATGCGAAAATTAACACGCATACCAAATAAGAACATGTAGTTATAGTGACTACTGCTCAGTTGTAAATATATCTGCCAACTTCCATTCACCATAGCCTTCGGAAGTGTCGGCTGAATGATCATCCTGTCCTGCAAGACGTCAGCAAGATGCTTGGTATATGATGATGCCTGGACATCATAGCACCAGTGGCCACTGGCTAAAAGGCATGACGGCAAGACGTAATTATGACTGACGTCGCCAAGACGTTCTAAAGACAAACTAATGCAGCGAGGCTGTATTGGAAACACAGCCCGACATCATTACCTGGATGTGTCGGATGTAAATCTTCCTGCCGATGTCGGCAAGATACCTACCAGGTATGACGTCGATCGGACGTCATAACACCGGCGCATAGGCCACCTGCCAAAGGGCATGATGGCAAGACACATTGTCACCAACGTCGGCAAGACGTTCTATAAGACCGACATAGGTTTCAAGGTTGATCTTGGAACACTGCCTGACGTCGTTGCTTGGACGTTTCAGCTGTAAATCATCCTGCCGACGGCGGCAAGAAACTTTAGATATGACGTCTGATGGATGTTACGACATCAACGTAGGCTGGCCACCTGCAAAAAAGCGTTACGGCAAGACGCATTATGAATGACGTTGGCAAGATGTTTTAAAACCAACGTAGGTTGCAAAGCTCTTCTAGGAGCTTGGGCCGACGTCGTTGCTTGGACGTGTCAGCTTTAACTCATCCTGCCGACGTTGGCAGGATACCTTAGTTATGATGTCGAATGGACGTCACAACACTGACGTAGGTAGGCCACCTGCTAAAAGGCACAACGGCAAGACTCGCTATGACCAACGTCGGCAAGACATTTTAAAACCGACATTTGCTGAAAGACAAAGACAGATAAACATTTCTGGTGACTTCCTCGTCTAACATCAGTTTTTACACAAAATATTAAATGAACAATTTAACTAGAGCTGTATGTCTGTTTGAAAACAGAACACAGGGCTTTTTCGCATTTTATAAATGCTATGTTTGTCCTTTGCAGTCACTTTTTAGAGTGTTTAATACAGTTGAAGGTTGTTCACAAGGCTTAGAATAATTTAAAAAATAAAGCTTTATCACATGACGTCACATGCCCTGCGATGACGTCATCTTGAAAACCCTTCTCAATCCACATTTTATCATTGTGGTCTTGGTTTAAACCAAGTATACAGTCAATCCGATGAAAGGAAGTGTGCAATTTTGGAAGCAGAATAAAATTATAAATATTAAAAAAATCATAAAAAAATCTACCGATGACGTCATCGTGACGTCACTTCGGACTTTGCATACTAGTACCATTATCTACCTACCCACCAAGTTTCATGACGATCGGATGTTTCCTTATATGTGTTTTGAAAAATCACATTTTTGATGACGTCATGATGACGTCATACACTTTTCAAAATCATGTGCAAATACCTATTACCTAACGAACCAAATACCAAAAGAATTTTGAATTTTTCATGTTGCATTCGTGAGATATGGCTTCAAGGTCCAAAAATTCAAATATTCACATTAAATCGCATGATGACATCATCACGACGTCACATCATTTTTTACCTACAACAGATCCCGGTCTACCCGCATACCAAGTTTCAACCCGATGAAAGGATGTGTGCAATTTTTGAAGCAGAATAAAATTATAAATATTTTTAAAAATCATAAAAAAATCAAACGATGACATCATCGTGACGTCACTTCGGACTTTGCATACTAGTACCATTATCTACCTACCCACCAAGTTTCATGACGAACGGACCTTGCCTTATATGTGTTTTGAAAAATCACATTTTGATGACGTCATGATGACGTCACTCATTTTTCAACATTTTGTGCAATTACCTATTACCTAACAAACCGAATACAAGAAGAATTTTGAATTTTGCATTTTGCGTTCTTGAGAAATGGTTAAAAGGTCCAAAAATTCAAATATTCATATAAAATCGCATGATGACATCATCATGACGTCACCTCATTTTGTTTTATACCTATAACACATCCCAGTCTACCCACATACCAAGTTTCAACCCAATCGGACTTACAGTTCTGTAGATGTGATGACGTCAGGTGACTGCTGATGACGTAATCATGACGTCACTCTTCAGGACACAACTTTGCCATAAGGACAATGCATATGCTTAATTTGAATGATGTATGACAAAGATGCCAAAAAAGGCGTGTACTAAAATCGTGTACAAAGTCTATGGGATTTTGCATGGAACAAAAAGAAGAAAGTAGGGAGAAAAAAAAATCAGAACAAAAACAAAGGCTTTTTCGCAAATTTGCGAAAAAGCCAAAAATGTAACTGGTTGCACAAAACAAATACACAAATCTACACAAATGAAGCTATCCTGGTAAATCTGACATTTACACACAAAAAACTTATGAAACTGAATACATTTATAGAATACTGAAATGTAAAAGAAAATGCAGTTCACGCCAAAAGTCTTATGTAACGGTATCTTCTCTTCAGCTGTATTGTTGGACTCTCTTCCCATCTGGTATCATGCACTGAGGTTGGTCTTCATTACAGCATCTATTGTCAGACCATAACGCTGTACTCTTGAGAAAAGAGGAAAGGCCATGGTATGCGGGCTGCAAGGTACTGTAAGAAATGAATCTTGGGGAATGGGCTGTTTCCTGTAGGGAAATATTGCAAATGTAGTAATGCTCTACGGATAAGTTCTCACTAGCAGAATTAGTTCACACTACTGAAGGAGAGAAATTATATGCATTGTCCTGTATTTAGAAACTGATTGCTTTATCTCTCCTTTAGGAGCTAAGTTGGATTCCTCGAGACCAGGAACTCCTGTAAGTTATCCTTGGCACCAGTCTAAGTATCTAAAGGAGCGGAGACAGCAGCTTAACAAAGTCATGCAGAATTTAGATCCATACATACCTGTAAGTTTTATTGAGTTTTTTTTTTTTTGACACGGCTCAAACCTGATGCTTGAGTTTAGCCCATCGAGTTGGCCGGGGTTTCAGAAATTAAAGATTTTAGAATGGGACTACTTCTTTTGAGAAATATTTTTATCACTCTATTTATCTTATTTTTTTTTAGTTGGGTTCCTTGTTGTGTCATGAATTGTCTCAATAAGAAAATCTACTTGACAGGGTATATGGAACTCAAATTGCATGGGGAGAGAGCCTTTGATATTATTGTGTTGACTACTTTCCCTCTCTAGGTTGACCTTATATCAACTCTAGAGCCATACAAATCATGCTGAGGTCATGTCTACTATGTCTTCAAAGTAACGCTATGTATTTTTTAAAGCACTATCGAAGGAATGATACAATAATAATTGTTATTCAACAAGAAATTGATTGATTTTTAAATCTGCCATGTTTTGCAACCCTCTGTCCGATTTTGTTCCCAATTTCCTGACACCACCTTGCTTGACTTCTGGACCAAATTTTATTATCCTTGAATTATGCACCGGATGTCCATAGCAGATTTCATTACAGTAATTGTACCCTGAGTGAAAACAATTTGAAGCTCTTTAAAAAAAAATAACAGGAAAGGTTGCAGTCGCAATGCTAAAAATCGTACTACACGTATATTATGCATAATACGGACTGCCGTCTTGATGGTGTCATTTGAGCGTGCTCCTAGGATTCTTGGTAATTCCAATTTGTGATCTAGTCAGGGTTCACACTTCCCGAAAAAATACCTAAATTACTGGGTGCGTGTAGTTCGTTGCCGCCACTTACTTTGAAATTTAGGGTCAATCTGCTTGCCTATTATGCATGTGTACTCATTTGTTGAATCAATCTATTTTGTCTTTTTGTATTTCTAACTTATTAGGAGCTGAACAAGTTGCAGATTATCGGAAGAAGCAATCCTTATGAGTTGCAAATGGATAAGCCATCCTGTGAAAATAAGATTCCAGAGACAACGGGCTTAAATCCAGATGTGTAAGCTTCTTGTGTTCTAAATCTTTCAATGTTTATTGACAAAAATGGCAAACGTTTGCCATGTTGGAAGGTTTGTTCAAAACGTGTGAAGCAATTGCTTCTTTGACGTGTTTGAATTAACGCATATCATACAACATTTTACAAAATCTCAAATCTTACTCAGTTGTAATGTAATTGGGAACCTGAATTTGCAAATGTAGGACGCCACAGCAATTGGTTCTGCAAATTTAGTAAGTACAGGTAGAACACATTTTAGCAGTAAATATAAATGTAAATGTATTGTGATGTCACATTCTTTTCAAATTTGCATTCACATTAAGAAAGAATTTGGCTTAAAAATAAAACCTACATAAACCATGACTTGAACCCGCTATCTGTGTTCTTATTATCACAAGTCTTGACTTGTGCTCTCAAATGTTCTGAGATTGCACTGGTTGTTATGTACCTAGTTTTCAAAAACACAGTTCATACCTAGCTGTGCATTATGTGAATATATAAGCTAATCCCATTTAGATGTTATAAGGATACCACATGCTGGCCAGTTTCTGACTATATCTGAGAGACATATGGAGGCTGTATGGTACTGTTTAAGACTTCTTGACTTGTCCTCTCTATCATCATAAGTTGAAAACAAAAACCTTATGTCCTTACTGACCTAATTCCATTAATAATATGATTTAAAGATTTAATTCAATGAGAGAGTAATTTTGTCAAAATTCTGTTTGATGTTACAGAAATCCAGCTTCGTTGGATAATGAAGTGAACGATAAAGGACATACCTTGGGACCATCCTTACAGTTTGATAACTTCATGGCTGCTTGGAGTGGTGATAGCCACAGTAACAAAGGCCTTGTGGCACATGGAGCAAGAGTCACTTTCGAAGTGTATGCTGGTGAAAGAATCACCTCCTATTTGAATCTGGTAAACAAAGGCACAACTACTGTCTACTATGATTGGAAAGTAAGTAATCACAATATTTTTAGTGTTTGGAAATGTAACAGTTGTTGTCTTGTTTGAATATTGCAGTGAAATGAATGGATTTATATGTACATGTACACATGGACATGAAAGTATCAAAATAACTCTTCAAGTTGCTTAATGCAATTATATACATGAATATCACCAAAAACAACCACCACCGATTTATATTCATGTCCAATACATTGCTTGCCATGTGAAAATGCCTGAACCAAGCAGACACTATAAATCGGATCTCTGTTACAGTCCTTCATTTTTAAGGAGCGCGATCGCGCAGGCGCTCCTACTGCGCTCCTCGACTGTCTCGAAGGAGCGCGAAAAATAGAGCTCCTCAGAAATCCAAAAGAGGGCTCGTCAAACACGGGAAGTTTAAAAATAAGAAGTGATAAAAACGCAAAGGATTTTAAGTCTTAAGCTACACGTATTTTTCGTTGGTATAATGCCCAAACTCACGTTAATATGCCGCTGGACATCGCTAAAAATGAACGAACACCGAGCTCGTACGTACTGTTATAAGATCGTGTGTGTACAGCGGTTGTATACTGTGCGTGCACAATCTGCATATCGCATAGAGCTGCATGAAAACACGTGGGCCCGTACGTACGTGCGAGTGCAGCAATGACTGGTTCCCGCTGCGCCGCTCACTAAATCCCAATGAAGGCATGATGAAAATGCGGTAACCAGTCAATGTAATAGTCACGCGCGGTGCAATGCACTGCCTGCCGTACAGTGTTTTGCGTGCAGGCCGGACGGAATAGACATCGTAAAAATGCCAAGAAAATAACGATTGAGAAGGACGATCTTTGCAAGCTTATTCACAAAACTTGATATTTCTTGTCTGTGTATGTATTTCCCGTGTTCGTGAATTTATTTTGAGGAAGTTTTACTGGTATGTGAAGTGAAACGATGCAGCGTGTTTCACCGAAATCCTATACCGTGAAACGAGTCTCATTGCCGGCCCACCACACACAGTGCATCACAAACGCTCGTACTAGTGCGAAGTTCAGACGTTGTTAGCCAGTTTCTCGTCGTGACTAGCATTGTGTATATGGCATACTTGACCTGCATTTTCCATTATTTTTAAGATTATCGACGGCAGATAGTTTCGATAAAACTTAAGGCAAGTTTGTGTCATTTTGAGGCCCTTTTTGTATAGCTTTCGTAGAGCAATTGAAATAGTTCAGGCTGAAAATTTCATATAATTTTAACAAATCTGAAAGCAAATTTTCAGTTGCTTTATGTGCCGTTTATTAACTCTCCATTTTCCAAGTATAATCAAGAGATGAACCAACTGACAACTGTATTAAAAAATGAAAGCCTAAGCAGTAGTCAAACCTTTTATTAATCTCCATTTAGTTAGTTTTTTTAAAATAAATTTTACCTTGTCTTACAGTAACAAAAACGAAAAAAGTAATGCAACTTGAGCACATGTTATTATGCAAAGACTAATAATAATGCAGCCCCTTGAATAAATCCTTATATTCAAAATAAAACAAAAACAATGGTAACCCGTCCTTTTACCGCTGTATATCCGTAGATTTTAAGGAGAGCGATTTGCTCTCCTCAAATATTTGAGGAGAGCGATTTATAGCTCTCCTGGATTTTCTTTAAATGAAGGACTGCTGTTACCATTCGGCATCCTCCTTTTTTTCATTGGGCTTCATGTTACTACCTAATCAGATGTTTCAGACCTTATTTCAAACACTGGGGCGGATTGCAATAAGCAGTCTTAAAGCTGTCCATAGGCCTTTTCACACTGTCCAAATTCTCCGGGTTGGAAGCTGTTCCAACCCCGAGATTTTGTTCAACTCTTTTCCCACTTCTAAAATGTCAACCTGGTTCTGACCCGGGTAGCATGCTCTAGCCGGATCTAAATCAACCCTGGCAGGGACCTGGTGTGCGCTCAGAAAGTGTTACAATGTAACTAAACTGTCCCACATGTGTATGTACATACACATAGCACAATAGCTTGTGATGCACAACTCGTAACTTTTTTCAAAGCCGTTATTCTCGAATTGAGGTCGCGGAAGTTTTGCGACGCACTACTGACTTTCTCACGGCATATCTTTGGAATTAATTGAGCTACAGACATAAAGTTGGTATAATTAGAAAGCTACAGTGTTGCTCTTTTACATGGTATATAAAATTTAAAAAGTCAAGGCTTGGGGTTATTCCTTTGAAATGTATATCATCTTCAATGCTAAGTTGATTTGATGACCTATTTAGTGAGCACTGTGTGCCTCTTCCACTCTTGAAAAAGGGATGTGCAAAATCATGACAAAAAGTATACACTTTTTACAATTAATTCTTAATGCTGTCTTGTTTCTACAAACGTTATTTAAGCTTTTGTTCTACATGTTTATAAAACATGTATATTAGTCGAAAGACCAATTCTAAAAAAATCTGTGTTCACTTTGTTCAATCATGCAGTGAATCCTGCACACGATTATGAGCTCGAATGCACTTGCCATAGATGATAGTAGCACCTTCAATGACGTCCCATTTAATAATACCCGCACAAAAATGATCTATTCTGTGAAAATGATTTTTAACATTTTGTTTTTATTCCTGGAAAGGATCATCAAAGGTCTCGTCTTTACTCTGTAGTCGTTTAAAGGAAATCTGTCAGTTCAACATGACCGTTTTTTGGCCAAATTTGTGAACATGATAAAAGTCAAAAGGGTTTATCTCAAACAGTAGTATCATTGTATCACAGTCTGGTGCCTGGCAGAACAAGTTGGCCGTAATGTTGTTCATAACTATGACCTCATAACCATGTGGTAGGCATGTTCCAGAGTACATGTACATGTACCATGGAAACAGGAGTGCGAATTTATGAATAGGTTTCTGCAATCCAATGTGACAACAATATGAATATCCAATCTGTACGTCCTGTACAAAAGGCAAAACCAGCAGCAAACATTGTCTACTTACGTTATGAACAAATCACTGTGTTCATTTACACATGTATTTACAGCGAATTGCTGAGCTGGAGTCTATGAACATGCTTGTATTCTGAGGAAAAAAGTTAGTGTCAGGCGTGGGCCGGCCAAATACCATACGGCCTCAATGAGCCAGTAAATTTTTCTTTGAAGCTGCAAATCGCTTTGTGGATGAAGAAAAATGAAATAGGTCCATTAGGCAATTGCCTGAACTGATCGCCAGATTTCTCTGCCGTGGTTTACAGAGTGACACTTTGCCACATTGCTTCTTCTTCGCCAACTAAGTTCTGCATAATTAGTGTAGTGTCTTACATGTACAATGTATGTTAATTTTCTAAAATCGTTAGCAATTAAGGTAAAATATTAGGAATTCTGGGGTTTGGCATTACATTTGGATTGACGCATAAGTAAAATCATGATCACCATGCTAGCCTGTTATACGACTGTATGTATTGTACATTCATTGTTGACAAATGTAACGTGTGGTATTGTGACATATGTAATGTATGTATATCGCAAGAATGGCAAATTCTTCTGACCCTTGGGCAACAACCTTCTGGCCTCCCTGAATGTGACCTATCAAACCTGGTACTGGGTGAATCAAAAATGCGGAACCCAAACCCCTAAAATTATATTTCATATTTTAAAAATAATATGTAGCACCAAAATAATTATGACTGGCAAGCCAATTTCATAAGCTACTTTTAGATGAAAAAAAAACCCTCCATCTCCATTTAAACACAGTAACCCTATTGTTTGCCTAACCAGGGTTATTAATAAAGGAATTGTGTATTACAGTTGTTGATAGTTGGTGAAACAAGTATTCTGTGTCATTTTCTTTGTTGTTCCAAACAATAAGAATACACAATAAATTGCTTTTTGTGGACAAAAGAGGTTTAGGGTCATTGCGTTTAAATGGTGATATTCTTTGAACGGATTGAGCAATTTCAGTAATTTTATCATCTTAAGGTAGCTAATATGAAGTTGGCTTTCCAGTCATTATTATTTTTGGTGCTACAGATTGTTTTAAAGATGAAATATAATTTTGGGGGTTTGGGTTCCGCTTTTTGGACTCGCCCTGTACAGAATGATGAATTTACCATGTTTTGTTTCAATTGGAAGATACAAGTTTTTGCTCCTTAAAAAATTCATATAAAATGACACAGTGACACAAATTATTGTGGGGGCAATTTATATTGTGCAGTTCACAATCGTGCACTGAGTACATGAAGGCCTACAGTGCAGTGCATTTGTGTTGTGCATGGTCATCAAAAAACTGGCCCAATTTAGTGCCCTTGATTGTTTGCTACCGGTAGTTACGTATTTCAAAAAGTCTGGGTCACAAGTAATCGACACAGTTTTTTCATTTGAGAAGAAAATCATTTTGGCCTTGCTTATAGGCCTATTCATTTCCAGTATTGATTAAAGCCATCCAATTATGAGCAAAAGCTGTCAATGTCACAATAGCATCATGTACAATGCATACCAAGCAGGTGAATGTTCCCTGTGGGGAATCAAGGATAACAGTACGTGTGTTCGAAGCAAACATTTTGAGAAGAAAAAGTTTGATTTTGAGGACCACATTTTGAACCCCGAAACAAAAACTCCAACTTTAATGGTTACTAGTTCTGTGCAAGTTTATACAGTGATCTTTTATATCTGTATAATCAATTCAGCGTAAATATGTTTTAGAGCCCAAAAAAGCACATTCTAGTCAGAATTGCTCCTTTAATCCACTTACCCTAGCACAGCATAGTATACTTCCTCCTGTGTTACTTCAGCCTGCCTATTGACCAAGTATAAAGACTTGAAATACTTTACATGTACTTACAAGTTTTTTGTGTGCAGCCTATGGCCTAATACTTCCAGTATTGGAAGGGACTTTACTCATTTCTCATCTGACCCTTTCACAAACTTATATCGTCAGACAAGCACTGATTTTGTCGTGTGAATGTATTCTTCCACAGAAAATTCCCAAAATTAACCCATTCGAGGGATGTGCCTCTCCCAAAGTACAGCACTTTTACTTCAACACAAGCAGTGGAGTTCTGTTACCAGGTGAGAGCCTCAAGTTCCCGTTTGTCTTCAAGTCACCAAATGCTGGCATCTTTTCTGAGACATGGCAGTTGGACACAAGACCAGTTTTGTGCGGTGGTGCTGTTTTGCAAGTAACACTGCGTGGAATAGCTCTTCAGGAAGACAAAAATAAAAGACAGCGGTACCAAATTGAGGTAGAGTACATTGCTTATTCATCAGTATTTTTCATTTTGTGGGATTGTTTATCTGTTTACGAATATAAGGTTGCTGGGTGAATCCTGGCACGGTTACACTTTTGCCACATCTAGGCAAGTATCGGTAACTCTCTCCCTATTGGTCACCCACCCTCTAATGGTCACCCACTCTCTATTGCATGTATACCGTCGGCTTCACACTGCAAACGTGGCAATTGCCTGAACTTCCAAGATTTCTCCTCCCTGGTTCAGAGAGTGACACTTTACCACATTGCGGCCACGGGCGTCGCTACGTTGGGGGGGGGGGGGGTCGCACCCCCCACTAGTCAGTTTTGTCACTAAAATTATGGTGCTGTTGGCAAAATAGAAAATGTAGAATGAAGGAGGGGGATGGAAGAGGGAAGGAGAAAAAAGAGTGAATGTACATAATAAACACTGCTGCTCAAAACCCTGCAAAGCAAATTTCATGATGGCACCCCCCCCCTTCAAAATGGTATAGCGACGCCTGTGTTATTGTTATTATTAAACAAAAAGAATCAGGAAGAGTGGGAAAAGTGCAAGCACTATAAGTTGCTTTACAGCAACCCCCGCACACCTGAAGCGTCGGTGAAGAAAACAAGTAACAAGACAGCAATCATGATCGACTAAAAACGATGATGCAAGCCGGCACATACAGCTCGGGGACATGATCAGGCCTTGAATTTGGGAATTTTTAGGGCAAGGCCATTTTGGCCTTGAATGAAGCAAAATTATAGAGGGCACTAAGTGCAGTAGGAAGGGCACAAAGGCCAAATAATATCTGTCTTTATTTTTGTGTTGCGGTTTGTCGTTGTCATCGTCATTTTACCTCCAAATTCCCCTCAAAATTTAGAAACCCTTCCCTCTATCTATAAGCTACCTGCAAGTTCTTAATATGGATTAAAATGGATTTTGTCAAATGGATTTTGTCAATGAGACAGATATGAGATGATGCAGCAGATGACCAAACTGGAGCACAATTAATACTCAAGAAGTGGAGGGACGAAGCACTGGAAACAGCTAGCACAGATGGACACATCGTTGAATATTGTATAGGCCTTCCTCATCATCCCAAGTTTGCGAGAAGGGGAACTGACAAGAGATTGAATATGACACTCAAAGGTTAATTTCAGATCATACTTGACACCCAAGATTTTTAATTCATCGCAACCATTACATTGAGAATTGAACCGTCAAGGAATAGATCACCGTGTGGTGGATCGTGAGATGCACAAGCTACTTAACTTCAATGTGTTCAACTTCATGTTCCACTTGTTGCACCATCTACACATGCTACAAAGATCATCATTTAATGGATTCGCAGACGGCATGATGCGACTGAGGTGAATCAACTATCGCATCAGAGTTACATCCTCAGTTGTACGTTTAATTCTTAGCGATCTTGAACAGGTCGATTGTGTAAATGTTGAACAACAAAGGTCCAAGAACACTTCCTTGAGGAACGCCTGAATGGACATTGTGTCAGTCACAGAAGCTGCCATCGACACATTCACGATGTGTCTGTCTCCTCAGAAATTGAGTCAACACTGACAGCACTGATACGCTGACCCCGACACTCCGTAACTTCCACAGTAATCCCTCATGATTGACTCGATCAAAGGCAGCCAACAGGTCCAATTGGACAACCCTCAAATCATGACAATAATCAAGAGCTGACTGTACTTTGTAAGAGATTGTGAGGAGAGAAAATCTGTTGTACCAAGATTCTTGCGATAAGCAAACTGGTGGGATGACAACAAACTCGATCATTCCAGAAAGCGGGAGAGACGAGTAGACACCAGGTGCTCAAAAACTTTGGAAAGTATTGGTGTGATGAATATTGGCCAATAGTTGGAGACGCTTGGTGAAGGAGACCCTTTATAGGGATTGGCAGGCGTAGGGGTAAACCCCAACCCCACCCCCAACCCCCCAACCCCAGCTCTGTCAACAATTTTTTTTTCATAGAAATTACTTAAAAGTAAAGTAAAACTATTCTGGTAATAACGTCTGCCTTTGCACAAAATTCTGACAGGCAATTTTTTGTTTGTTTTGGTATTTGTACACTTTTCTGTAACATAATGTTAATAATCGTTGGATTTGAACAGCGCCCCATTGCAATTATGGGATGAGCCCCCCAGCCCTTCCCACCCCCACCTTTTGATTTTCGGAGGCCAAGAGTCCGGAGAAAAAAAAATGTCTACATTTCAGAATTTTTGGGTGATGAAACATCATCCCCCCCCCCCTGCAAAAATTCCTGGATCCGCCCCTGATTGGAGTGATGTTAGCTACCCTCCAACACATCGGAAAAGATCCAGATGGCATGAGGCGTCTAAACACAGCACTCAGCTTGGGAGCAGCACTCTGGAGGTTTCTTTGAGGAACAATGGAAACCGAAACATCCAAAGAGGATCAGTCCCGCCATTAGGATGAAGTGCATTCAGCAGCTTTTCCACTTCTCTGGATCTGAAGGCAACATTGGTGAATTTTGGCTCTACATCGACTTTGTCATCAAGCTGTATTTGTGTTCGGCTGAGCTTAGAGTCAAAGTGAGTCATCAAAAGATCAGCATTACCCTTTGGATTTGTCACAAGCTCCCCACCACCAAAAAGCAAGGGAGGAAGAGATGGGCTTTATCCAAAAAAGCCGACTTCAATGTGGACCACCACTTGTGACGATCAGAATAGTTTGACATCTTTCTACGAATGAAACTAACGTGATCTCTCTGAGCATCGCGGTACGTTTTTTCCACAAAAGACCTTGCGTGGATACATTTTTCACAAGACTCCCTGGAACTGGTGTCTCTTGCAGCTCTACATTCCTTTGAAAACCAGGCCTTATCTTGAAGGGGTAAGAGACTATTTTCATGGGATTGCTCTGAGAAATGATAGTCATAATTTGCTCATTGTCCTTTACATTATTTTGCTGCTCAGTGTCCATGACGACCCTTCCGCAGTTTCTGCCAATTGGGAAATCATCACTATTATCAGACCAGTGTAACCCCACCCCACGATCCTTTGTGGATGGGGGGGGGGGGGGGGGGCCCACATTCATATTCGATTGGCTGTGTCCTTGGTAAAGTACATTAGTAAGTCTGTGTGGGAATGCCTTAATCCATCACTCTTTTGGCAAATGAGATATGCTACAGGCTCGCCACTCACCAGCCATCACCCAGTGGCAGTTCCCATATGCTGTCTTCTATCAGAGTGAAGCAGCTGTGCAACATTTTGATTGGACATCATTATGCCTCCTACTGGTTGCAAGGCTGTCACACTCCACCAGTCCTTGATGTTCCAATCATCCTTGGATTACACTGCTGCCCCCAACCACAGGCTGGCTAGCAGCAGTCAATGTATCCCAAATAACCGATGGGCTATTTGACCCATTTCCCTTGGTATTGGGTCTAGCTATCCTCTGACCGTTGATACTGCTAGTCAGATGTTGTTTCAGGGTTTTTGAAAAGGAGTACCACTCAGACAGTATTGCAGAGGCACAATTTCCCGTGCCTATTTCACCCTCGGTTCAGTTTGGTCTCTTGCCTGGTACCAAGTTTGCATCATGTACCCCAAATGAGGGTATTGTCCAGGAGGATACAGCAAAACAACGGTGGACTCTCACATGTACTGGCAGGGCAGGCCCATTCCCTGACCCCTGCTTCGCAAATTAGAATTTATCAAAGGACAAAACCATTAGTTTCTACATCTGCTCCTGTTTTTCAAAGTGCCCTTACTTTCCCTGATTTCCCCTCCTGAGTTTCAAGAAAAATCCAGGAAGTCCGGGTCAGAACTGTCGCTTGGCGAATATTGCCACATATAGCAGCTTTCCTGGTAATTATTTCTCTGTGATTTGGCTGCCCATGCACATGTCATTTGGGCCTGGTTTTATACCCCCAACTCACCCTTCATTTGTCATGGGTCCTTGCGCTGGTTTTTACACCAACTCGGGCCCCTTAGAGCCCCTCAGTATGGCTGCTCTCCTGGACATCTCCTTTGGTGACGACTTTCTTGCTTGACTTTCTTACTGCAGAGCCAGCTCAGCGTAACTTATAACCCAACGTTTCAATCCTTCAGAACCAGGTTGTGTATCTTGCACCCCATGGCTCTCCTCTCATGGAAAACAAGTCATCTGTGATTTCTGACCATTTTGATACCGAAATTCAAGCTTCTCTCATCCATTTCAGATGAGGAACTTAGGGTCTGTGGCTACCTAATGTGGCGGTGTCCGTCAGATTCTGTGGGAAGGTACTGTGGGAAGGTACTGTGGGAAATTAATCTTAGCAAATGAATAGCGCTCTTTAGGGGATATTGCGTTAAGTAATAATGCTCTATGGGTAAGTACTCGCTAGTAGGAGATATTGCTTTATAATAATGCTCTAAGTACCGGTAATAATGCTCTTTTAAGTAATAATAAGGTAAGTTGTTGCGGAAGCACCATGTGGCAAAATATCTTTTGTGAGTACATGTATGTATGGTTCTGAAAAGAACCGGAGGGTACTCAACGTTTCGGACAGCATACACTGCCCATGGTCAGGAGACTGAGGGATTCCAACGGTAAAGTGGGTTTATATGGTGCCTGGAAGCGATAAAACGTGAGAGGGATGCAAACCAAGGGATGTGGGATGCAGGCAGTGAAGCGTGAGAAGGATGCAAACTGAGGGTGCTCATGCAGGCCAAGGGGATGCTGGAAGATCAATGAGGCATGTCATTCTGAAGGAAGGGAGCGAAGGGGAAGGTTGCCAAGGGTATAGGTGACCCATAGGCTGGAGAAGTTGTCCTAGAGTATAGGAGACCCATTGGACTGGGAGGTGAGGATGGGGTGCCAGATGTCGCTGATGGAGAAACCCATGTCTTGGGGAACCGTGTTGTGTTTGAAGCTTTCGATGGCTTCTCTGATGCGGCGGGGGTACTAGCGTTCGGTGCTGGTGATGAGTTCTGACTGGTTCCAGTTGATCTGATAGTCTTCGGTGTGGGATTTAATATTAAATATTATTTTTCCTCAGTAGGTGCATTACAATCTGTTTAAAGGTGGGTCAAAAATGTTGCCAAACAGCATCAAAACTATCCATCCGGTGTGTCACAACTCTGAGGGGGTGTATAGATTCCACCAAAGGATGACCCACTGTTGGACAATGACACACCATTCCTGGGGGTCATAGGGTGCGTCATACAATTGATAGGTGCACTGTTTATGTTAAACAAACACAGTCAGTGTCATGTAATTTTTGTAATGTTCATATTTTTATTTAAACTTTTAAGAATTGTGGACATTAGTGTATTGTCATAATTCATCCTGGCTGGCAATTGACTCTAAAATTGTACGCCCAGTGCACATGTTATATGTCCCCACTAGTTTGCATGTAGCCTATGCACTATGCAAAAACTGTTGATTAAATACGAATTGGAAATAATTTGGCCTTGGTGTCCATTCACTTGGCCTCGGTGCCCTTTGAATGTTTGACAACACTAAGGCTAATGTGGCCTGCCCCCTATTTTCTTAGTGTCAAGGCCTTATAGTTGATACAAATAATTGTCCATTCAACCATGAATCATGTTAGTTACCGTAATTTTCGGAATATAAGCCGTGGCTTATACGTTGAATTTGACCGTGAAAATGTTTACTGCTGCTTATACACAGGGCGGCTTATACACCGAGCCTTGAAGAATAAAAATGAGATTCAAATGTGTATATTTAATGTACTGGTACAAAAAAAAGATTCAATTAAGAAAGCCATTAACAAACCGAAAGCACGTCCCACGAAAATATACCAAGCGGTAAAAATGGCAGGCTGGCAGGCTGGCTGGCCATGCATGAGTGAAAGCTGTCTTTGACAACCAGCCGACTGTACCTGATACTGCATGCATGCCATGCTGCATGCATTCCCCATGGACCACACCATTTGTGGTAATAAAGGGGTGTACTTTCTTGGGAACAATAATTACCAATATGTTAGCTGTTTAAAAAAAGAAAAAAGAACAACTAATACTTTTTATGGAGTTCAAAACATTTATTCAATAATCAGTTGTTCAACGTCACAATATAATTTTTTTCTTGAAATGTATTCAAGAAACGATGTTAAACTCAAAACAGGGGGTAAATCACCCCTTACAAAATGAATGGATTCATCCATAAAAATGTCAGCATCGTGTTGACTGTTTTCAAAGAAAGTTACGATCGAAACTTGAAGTTTTGACGTTACTATTCGTTAGTGATCACAACAATTTGATAAGTTTTGTCGTAAAAGCGGACCTTTTTATTCTTAGGACAAACAAGTCAGCATCTGGTGCCACAAAGCAAGATTTGTAGCGCTGCAGTCAGACGACACATGGGTGGGTTGCATTCTCTCTCAAGTGCTGTGAGAAAATGTTGTCATTCGCGCCGGCGCAGGCTGCCGGGCCATGCTCTAACTTTTAGGCCGGGTACCGGACTGGCCAGCCGGCAGCAATTCCCGGTGTTGATTTCTCATCATCAATTTCCATATTTGTTTGTAAGAGTATCGACTGTAAATGATTTGATATAACTTTTGTGGCCCTTTTTATAGCTTTCATAGTGTAAATGGAACCTGTCAGAGCATTTTGACTAGAATTTGGAGGTCTTACAAAATTAAAACTGCTGCGGTCGGTGCGGCTTATACGCCGGTGCGGCTTATACGCCGACTTCAAATCTGAATTTGCAGATTTTTGCGTGCTGCGGCTTATACTCCGCACGGCTTATATTCCGAAAATTACAGTAATAACTGTATGTTGTATTGACTTTCAGCAAGATCTGTTTACTAAGCAAGCAGTGTTGACAGCTCAACGCATCCTAGATGAGTTAATTGATGGGATACGTACACCAGAAAGACCATGTTCACCAGTGGATGCTTACATAACTCAAGAGGAGTTATTCCAGCAACACAACAAAGGAGTAAGTCTATTTTAATTTATTGCAAGATTAACATTGAGTTATTTTGATATTTGATTTGAAAAAGTTTGCAAAGCAATCAAGAACCTTTCCAACATTTGAAGAAAAAAATGATCAAATAAAAAAGTACATTACCTGGTGTCTTTTCACCTGCTGTTTTTTAATAAGCTGTTTACCTTAATTATATGGTCATCTAGATTCACTTTCTGTGTGTTGCTTATAAACAGGCTAAAAAGGGGCTGTCCTGTGCTGTTATGGGCATTACAGCTACTTCCGGCTGCTTTGGCCACAAAAGTAGCCGCTACATTTAAGATAGTGTTTTGTAGTCGACATTTTTATATTTACAAATTACAGTCGAGCACAATTATTACGAGCACGGTTGGGACAAGAACACAGTTACCACAAGCATATTTCATCAGTCCCGACCAAAATGTTTTTATTTCTATTGGAGAAAATTGGCTTAATAAGAGCTGTGTTAGCAAGAAAACACGGATATAGTCCGAGCATTTTTATTAGCCCTGTTGTGTAAAAAAACGTTGTTATCAATGTCTTTACAACAAATACAATTTGAAAGCTCCTGTTTCAGTTACCCAATCCCTGTAAATCCTGAAGAAAGGTGCCAATAATTATCGTGCTAAGGCTAATGTGCTCTTTAATCTGCGCTGCAGTTTTAAGAACGCCTGGTAAGCCCTAGCTGTGTGTGGTGTCCTGCTGGCAGAGCTTTTACAGCGAGTGTTGTGCATGCAGATTTTGTACCGCCAGAGGGACTTTCATTACAATGAAATGAAATGAAGCCAATAGAAGGGTTTTTAGTGCAAACTAACAACGGGTAAACCTGGCTTTCGTTTGAACAGAATGCTACCCAAGGTTTGGTGCAATTAAACAATTGAACAAAACGATCCCACTGCCTCTGACTTAATTTCTTTTGTAACAGCAAGTCCGAGTTTTTTTTTCCTAATGGGGCGCAGTACAATCATGGGCGCAGTACAATCAAGTCAACTATCCAAGTTCAAGTTCAAAATTAAAGCTTAAAAGTTAAATACATTCAAAGCTACATACTGAAAATTAACCAGATTTACAAAAAAAATGACCAACGAGCAAAGTAACTAACCCACTGACTGATCAGCCGGCAAGATAAGTCTTAAGACATGATTTACAAACAGTCAGGGAATTTAATTCCTGTAAGTTGGTAACTTGTTCCATAGTAGACTTGACTCAAGTCAGAATTGCTTTAAGTTGATATCTTAAAACAAACAATGAAACAAATCACAAAAATCCCTTACTTTACATCCGCACGACAAGGTACACTTCAGCATGCATTCCACTTCAGTGCCGTAACAATGCGAGCACACTGTAAGTACATTGTACAACATGCATATTGTACTGATTATACACGTGCATACATGTACAGACCATGTGTATAACAAAAAGTTCATAGTTCTTGTCTTGGTGGGTGTTCTATGGTGACTCCGGCGATGAGCAGCAGGAGAAGGGTCCTCCCGTTAGTACGGTCAGCATACGCCGTACTCGTGAGTTCACGCACATTGGATCAGTACCTCCGTGAAGTGACGTCAGGGTCCAGAAACTCAGACCGAAGTCTCTTGTCCGACGAAGTCGCCAAATAGTCCGTGGGACGAGAGGCCAAAAACGCTTTAGTTTTCAAGATACGCAATCTGGTCCCCCGAAATTTATAAAACTTAAATGTAGATTATGATGTACCATATCTAAAAAACTTTGTTCCCCGATCCACAGTTTGTTTAATGAGAAAATCTGGGATAAAAACGCCTAAAATGTTGCATGAGAAAAAAAACATAAGAAACAGCGCCCTCTATTGGCACAGTCAGAAACCTTTTGTCACGCAATGAGCGCTTGCCAGATAATACTTCTTTCAAGTTCCATTTGAAGATCATTACAGATCAAATTCGTCTATTAAGCTGTTGCCGAATGGCAGCATTCAGAAATCGAATTCGTTGTATATAAATCAATTAGACGAATTTCTTTGCTAATAAGGTTGGTGTAGACTAGACGAAAACGTGTACTTGTTGTTTGAATCGCTTGAACTGAATTTTTTAAATTGTCACACAAAAGATGAAATTAAACATCAGAAGTGCACTAAGTCGATGGTGATGGACGAATATGAATATTAGAAATGGTGAATTCGAATGATAAACATTTTAAAATAGCCGGGAAAACCTATATAATCTAATTTAATCCATTTATTAAATTTTTTTTGGGGGGGGATTTAAACCTGCACAGTTGTTACTCACACAAGAAGAATGGTATTTTGATTACATGGTTTGTTCAATCTGTACTGAAAGAGCATTACTTGTTAATTTTCAACTAACCAAACAAGATTATGAGCACATGTACACGTTATAGGCCGATTAGATGAGTTGTTGTATAACATATCAAAAGTCTCATCAAATTGAAGGACCCACTTTTTTGTTTGCAAACGTTTTTAAGAAGAGAAAATTAATGTATATTCCCCTGTTTGGAAGCTGTGAGTGGCAGCAGAACTGCAATTTGTTTCAGCTGAAACCGTTTTACCAATTTTATTATTAGCTGTTTCGGTGTACACACCGAAACAGCTCTTGTTTTCGTTAAGATTTTTTTTTTTTCTTTTTCTTTTTAGCTGTTTCGGTGACACACCGAAACAGCTCTTGTTTTCGTTAAGATTTTTTTTTTTCTTTGTTCTTATTTTTTTTCTCCTTTTTCAGACTTTTTCTCCATAGGTGTAGCACACGTTTCTTCTACCCATACACTTTGGCACTTTCGTAAATCTGATCGACTTCTGACTTGGCACACACTTAGATCACCACCCACAGATGGTCCTAGAAGAAATTCATGATCGTGACGTCATCAGGTGTCGGGTTACGTCACATTAAAGATGCACTTTTCCCCATATGTTTTGTACACGTTTTAAACCACTCCACTTTGGCCACTTCGTAAATCTGATCGACCTCAGACTTGATACATACTTAGACCACCACCCACAGATGGTCCTACAAGAAATTCGTGATCGTGACATCATTAGGTGTCAGGTTACGTCACATTAAAGATGCATTTTTCGCCGTAGGTTTTGTACACGTTTTAAAACATTATACTTTGGCACTTTCGGAAATCCGATCAACATTAGACTTCGTACACACTTAGATTACTACGTACAGATGATCCTAGCAGAAATTCGTGATCGTGACATCATCAGGTGTAAGGCTACTTCACATTAAAGATGCATTTTTCCCCATAGGTTTTGTACACGTTTTTCTTCAATTCATACTTTGGCACGATATGTCTGATTGACTTTTCTCTTGGTAGATGACATTCGAAGTGACTTCATCAAGTGTTCATCACGTGCACAGAGTATTTCAAATATCCGAAACAGCTTGTGTTTGTCCACAAACACATTTCTAGTTTTTTTTTTTTTTTCTCCTTTTTCAGACTTTTTCCCATAGGTTTAACACACGTTTCTTCTGGCAGTCCACTTTGCCACTTTTATAAAACCGATTGATTTCAGACTTGGTACATACTGAGACCACCACCCACAGATGGTCCTAGAAGAAATTTGTGATCGTGACGTCATCAGGTGTCAGGTTACGTTACATTAAAGATGCATTTTTCCCCATATGTTTTGTACACGTTTTAAAACACTCCAGTTTGGTATCTTCGTAAATCCAATCGACTTTAAACTTAATTTATAATTAGACTACCACCCACAAATGGTCCTAGAAGAAATTCGTGATCGTGACGTCATCAAGAGTCAGGTTACGTCACATTAAAGATGCTTATTTCCCCATAGGGTTTGTACATGTTTTAAAACGCTCCATTTCGGCACTTTCGTAAATCTGATCGACGTTACACTTGGTACACACTTAGACCATCACCCACAAATGGTCCTTGAAGAAATTCGTGATCATGACGTCATCAGGTGTCACGTTACTTCACATTAAAGATGCACATTTTCCCCATAGGTTTTGTACACGTTTTAAAACGCTTCACTTTTTGGCACTTTCGTAAATTTGATCGACTTTATACTTGGTACACACTTAGACAACCACCCACAGATGGTCCTAGAAGAAATTCGTGATCGTGACGTCATCAGGTGTTTGGTTACATCACATTAAAGATGCATTTTTCCCCATAGGGTTTGTACACGTTTTAAAACAAAGTACCTTAAATCGTCACGTGTCATACCTAACACTTTCTGTCATCGTCTCATCATATCGGTTGTTTCGTTTCAGCTAAATAACTGATTGAGTTGTAACTTCTTGTTATAGTGTCATACGTGAATTTAATAGTGACATCATGACGATGTCGTCACAAGTCGACGTCTCTCCAAACAGCCGAAACAGCTGTGTTTGTACACAAACACCTCTAGTTTTGAATATTGTTTTAAAAACTGATTCATTTTTTGTTGTTGCTCCATCCATTCTGTGAAACCACAAATCACCCAATGGCCCACCTGCTTCATTTTTTGAGGCTGCATCAGATTTGTATTACTTTTTAAAATTTCAGGAATAACACTTTTTAAATATGTTTCAGAAGATCAGATGCTCCACCAGATGCCACACACTTATATTATTTTTGAAAACATGTTACCCTGAGATAAGAGTTCAAAAAATTATTCTGATCTGTGGTTTAACCATACCAATCGATGTTCAGCTAATACATAACAATGTTAACGTACATGCCCCGACCTTAAATTTAAAACGTGATCATTTCATGTTGAACAAAACTGTAACGAAGATATTTTGGTATCCCGATGAGAAATAACAAAAATCTAGAAATATAATATGAAAGAAGTGTCATCTAGCAAGCACTCATTGGCCGAGTTTGGGCGGGTCTTGTTATTGACACGGGTATATCATTATTGCAAACATCGACGGATAGGTGTGTGAGATCCTGTTCCGAGTGCAGTGTTCGTGGGTCATGTTCCCGCTGTTCGAGCGCGAGAACAATAATAAATACTTGCGTCAACTTCAGAACAGACTGCCGGAACTCGGAGTCGGACAGCCATTGCGTGAGAAAAAGGTTTCTGACTGTGTCAATAGGGGGCGCTGTTTCTTATGTTTTTCTCATGTAGAATTTTTACCGTTTTTATCCCAGATTTTCTCATTCCCGAACAAACTGTGGATCGGGGAACAAAGTTTTATAAAATTCGGCAAACCAGACCGCGTGGCGAGTGAAAAAAAGGCCTCGTCCCACGGACTAAAACCAAACCAGGCAGCACCTTATGTGGTGCAAACTCCAACATGCTTGAAGCTCCAATCTGCAGTCCAGTCGACGAGCGACACAGGGGAGATCATCAGACAGCAGACTCCCGGTCTTGGTCTTCAGGCATGTGCCCTGGGAAAAACTCCCCAACAGCCGGCATTGGGCACAGTCGTGAAACTCACGGTCCTCTCCGTCCGATGGTATGGGATGAAAGGCACACCCCAAAGTTCGACGATCCACTTTATACGGGGACGAACATTCCAGGCACACCCAATGCATGCCGTAAATTCTGACTTCTCGCTCTCCAAGTTTGACAATTGTTCATGCTCGCCCCAATTGGGTTAATCTGCTCGCCCCTTTGCATAGTTTAAACTGTTTAAGACATGTTCTAGTCACTATTTTGTTTAACAAGAAAACAAATATTATGTAATACAGTTTTAAATGCCACCAAATAAATAATACATTACTACAACTCTGGAATAAAATCATAACAGTGTTCATTATTTTCAGTAGGTATGGAAGGCTGGATAACATTTGTAGATTTGAAACACATTCTGGTGATAATCCTCAGACATATGGGTTGCCTTACCCCATTCCTGGCTTTGTTGTAAAGCCTCTGTTTTCTCCTAATGTCTCTTTTGACAGAGCTGTTCACCCAAGGAAAGGAGAAGCGTCTAGAGCTCAGCTTCGATAGTGTAATTCTATCTATATAGCTGAAAAGAGCTTCTTTTAAACTATCAAACAAGCTGTCAATGGTACTTGCGTCCAGTATGTCTGGAGTGACAGAACTGTTGAAGTTGGTTAAGATCAGCTGTTCTCGGATTGATACTAAAATGAACACAGTATTCAAATGTTGTTCAAAACAAAAGGGAATTTTTGGATATGGTTGTGGTTAACCAAGATGTTGAGATCCATTGATATCACCACGTGTTGTGGGTAGAAGCCAATCACAGCGAAAATTAATCTCCAAAGACTGTACAAACTTGGAGCAAACGAGCGACTGACCAAGTCTGCGTTGCTGCATCACTTGAAAATAACATGTACATGTACATTATTAACATGATGGGCGGGATTCGACGCATGAGGGCTCGTGTTATACTGTACGGACATACGTATGTATGGGCTATGCGTGGATTTACTATAGGCACAGACCGAGCGCAACCCAGACTTGGCCCAAGTCTAGTTCCATAGCTGTGGTACCATCTTGCAGATGTCGATCACAGGGACGCACGGTGAACACGTAAGGAAATCACATTTTCTACCCCCAAAAAATGGTCAACATTACAAAAAATGAGGTCATTAGAATTAAGAGAAGTGTGATTTTGGTTGAAAAAAGTTGTTTTGGATTGATCAAAACACATCTATAATTTGATCAAAACTAAAGAGAGGCCTACACTTCCCAATTGCTGGCAGGATCTTTATCACTTCATGTCAAGCACATACGATTGAAACCAGTCCCACGTGCTAAACGTGACGGCTAAGTTGCCTCTTTTCCTGCCTTAAAGGAAACATGCAGCGGAAATTCAGCTCACCTTGTTTTCATGCACATTACTGTGTTGCAACAATATATACAAGATTTTAATACTTGTTTTAATTGAAGTGACAAGAAAGTGGTAATTTTTCAATTATTTGCAAATCCTTTCATCAAATGTAAGAGGGCGCTATGTCAAATATTGCATGTGAACAGTACAAAAACTAGTCCTTCAAAACTTACCCCAAAAAAAAGTTTTGAAGAAATATTTGCCACTACTATTGTCCCAACAAGATGTTTAACATGATAAACAAGTAAAAAGTGGAACTCCAAGAAAATGAAGAAAGTTTGATATATATTTGTACACAAAGCTATGGAGACACTACTGTTCTGCCTTGAATGACATCACGCGTTGGCTCGTGAATGTGGAAATTTTCATTAGCATAAAAACTAAAATGTTGTACAATACATGTACTTATGTGCAGAAGTGGGTAGCAGTATGGTGGACGTGCTTGATTGTGTCTGGAGTCAATCTCAGCCGCCCACTCTGTCCAGTTTGGTGGTGTTTTGTTTGTTTTCCTTATTTTATCACTTCTCTTTCATCGTTATTTTATTTATTACACATTACAATTCATAATACATTTACAAACATTTAATAATTTGCAACAAACATTGTAAAAGGCTTGAAGCTGTATACCAATAACGTACATGTGTTCATACAAAAACAATAAACACACATACACGGCGTGCGGATAACTTGTGCTCCGTGCATAAATGGGAAAATCATTCGATGCATAATACGAGGTATGGGATAAAACAACGGTTTTTTTTATAGTCCTCTTGAGCTGTAATTAACAGTGTTTGACTATAGACTTGTTTACTGTTATTCAGTGTTTCAATTGAAAACACTTAACTGTAATACAGTTATGCGCCCCTCGGGTGTTCAAAACGTCATATCCCACATCACCGCAGTCAACAATTGTTTTATTATACCTCTGTCTTGGATTCGTTAGATTGTGAAGTAAAAATCAGGAAAACAAACGGCAGAAAACAAACAGCAGGAGTGCATGTTGTGTGCTCGAAGCAGCTGATCGTCTGCTTGTTCGCTGCTCCCACTCGTGTGTGAAAATATGGTGAAAATAGTGTGGGTACCAACGATACCAGCGTTTCACACCCTACGCACCGTACGTACAGAGTCATATAGCACACTCCCTGTGGGATATCACGTACGCGATGACCCACAGGGAGTGTGCCATGACTTTTGTAAACTTAACTTCTAGGCCAATGAAAATACAGTTTTCAAGACAGAGGTACCGGTATAACAACATAAACTAGCTGATTTGTCAAATGAGTGAGTATTGAGTGAGTATTCAATACACTGTAGTCTATGAATGAACATGATTTGAAACTGTCACACAGCACACGACAGAAAAGCTTGTACCAGTATTTCATAAAATGGTGTCAAAATGTGCATATAGCCACAAATTTTCACTGCAGCATGGATTTTAGGTTTCATTGCTTTATGTACAATGTAGGCCCTATATGTAGGCAAAGAATAATACCATTATGTATTACCATTACTAAAATCCCCCAATTTATTAAATTTTTACTATAGATGCACTATTCAAATGAAATAGTAAACCAGTTAAGTCAACTCTACCTGGAGCAGTTTGATGACGATGACAAAGAAAATCATTCCTGGGATCTGTCTATTCATAGTATGAAACAGGTAGGAATTCTGATCATAACAATAAAAATAATAGTACAGTAGAGCATTGCTACAATGAAAACTGCAGTACCGAACATTTAGTTATAATGAACATTACCCTTTGGTTCCCAAATTTTGTGTCTGAATTGTTCGGAAAATGCATTCATATTGTCCATTTGTATCACCAAGAACACTTCTCAGTTGCATTCAATTGTTAGACAATAAAAATGTTGTGAGAAGTTCATTTGTGAGGTTTTGATGCTCAAGTTCATAACGATAGAGCACTGCGATTTTTGGAAAGGCTGCTGCTGGTGGGTGCACTAGGCGTAGGTGGTCTACGCACATTTGGACCTATTTGCTACTCAGTGTGTTGGTCAATATCACTATAAATGTGCATGGCTTCATTTACAGTCAGTTTATGAAATTTAATGAAAAACTGTTTGATAAGACACATGCTGATTTATTGTTATGTTTGTCAATAGAGCAGACACTTTAGGTAAGAACAGTATAAAATCTAAGTAAAAATTGTGATTTTTGACAAATACACATTACAATAAATAAAAATAAGGAAATTTTGCAAAAAATTCTGTTCACTTCAAAGCGAGTTATGATGGAAGTACATGTATTGTACACGTATGTGTACATGTACATCAAACTTGATTGTAGAAAAATTGGGAACCTTGCTTATTAAACTCAAACTCCGGATACCTCAAATTTAGTATCCATTCCCCTGAGCTTATAGTTATTTGGATTTTTCTTTACATGGCATTAATCATAAACATCTATCTTAATGTTTGTTATTAATTTTAATTCTTTGATTTAAACTCTGAGTAAATTTGATTGTTTATAGGACTTTTTGGCTCTTGAAGATGAGACCAAAAGGGAAGATCTGTTAACCAAGATGAATGCTGCTGTGACTTGTCTGTATTTCCCGCCACTTAGCCCCATTCAGCAAGAGATGTACAGGGTTGGGTAAGCTCACATTTTTACATCTTAGAAGTATACAGATGCCCAGCATTGTGAATACATCACATGGAAACATTTGCCAGCTTCTGTCTCATAAAAGTTTTTTGACCTTGTGTGTGTTGGCTGCACACAGGTCACGGTTGCCTGGACAACCCTCACTGTAGGGTGATACCTCTGTCCAGTATGGGTGATAAACCATGCGGGGGGGGGGGGGGGGGGGCCTAGGCATGAAGAGCCTCAATCTGGCAACTTTACACAATAAATATATCCGGTTCAGTGATTCCCATGTATACACAGGAATCACCGAATCCCAAAACGGGAATCACTGAACCGGCTATATTTATTGTGAAAAGTTGCAAGAACGAGGCTCTGCATGCCTATGGCGGAGTGTGCAAAGAGCGAATGCGACCCCTTTCTGACCATGGAGAACAGCCCGAGATCAAAAGTGTTGGGTAGTTTTTTTTCAGAGAGCCCGGAAAAAAACGTTGTGAATCAGTGAACAACTCTACTCGCATGTGGTCCAAGCCGAGAATTGAACCTGGGCCACATTGGCGAGGGGCAAGTGCTTTACGTACTAGCCACCCATGCCACTTTATGTAGATTTAGATTTTCGGAATAAATGTTCGTTTTGGAGGTATCAAACACTCTGTTTAAGACCGGTTGGAGTCTGGCTGCTGATAATTACCCCGAGCCAAAGTTGAGGAAAAAAAAATAACAGTTCTGCTTCCAGTTAGGCCAAAAATAAAAGTCTCTGGTTTCTCATCTGCGCGTGCATCGCTGTAGCCATGCGCGTCGGCAAAATTAAAATGTTTCTTTTTTTTAATGTAAGATGATGTCTCAAAACTGCCAAACTCACTAGTTTGACTGGAATCCTGCTGCTGCACAATTTTAACATGCTTTTAGATGGGGTTACGATCGAGTATTAGCTTTATGTGGCCTTTCTCGCCTCCCATATGTATTGCACTAAATTTAGTCGGGCACCATTTGCAGACTGTGTTGTAATCTTGTAATTCTGCGTCTGGAAGCCAGTCTGAGGGAGCGATGGTAGTGTACCTGGAACCTGTAAACGCTTTCTACTCAGCACAATATATAAGGGTGCAGCCTGGCAGCACGTGCCTGATGTCGACAAGGGCGTCAATTGCTTCTCAAAAGTTAAGGGGGGGGGGACATGCCTTGCCGAACACTAAAAGTGCAAAGCTCAGTAAAGCAATTATTCCCGATGCTCACATCTAAATTAGATTCATCAGAAATAGTCAGGATCTTTTGGTCTGGGAACCAGACTAGATTGCCTCATTCAATTTTTTTCACTTTTCACTTAAGTTGACACTTCTTGCAAACTGCAGTGCTAGGCTGGAAATCGATGCCAAATTACCAATGCGTGATTTTTTGAGTGCCGACTCACACAAAGGATTTTGTTACGCTTTTTATAGAAAGGGGACCGAGAGGGTCCTTACTTCAAGGGTTACTGGAAGTGAAATGATAACTGAATTTAACTCAAACACAGAGCCTTTTAATAAACAAATACATTAAGTAATGGATGTAAAACAAAAAGGCATGTTCATATCAGCATTCAAAATGGAACTCTTTATTGGTACATGAAAGAAAGTTGATCTATTCATTTGAGAACAATTCTTCATAATAATGCTCGGAACTCTCACTTCTTTAGAACAGTACCAAATTAATTCACAAAGTTTTTAATTTGAGTCAAATTTTCCTTTTGCTGTCTTTTGTCAAATGATAAAATTAGGGCTGTCCCGAATATACCGAACATTCAAATATTCGATCATCAACCAAATGTTCATAATTAAATGAAAACTACGCATGTACGCAGCCCTGCTAGTACGCACACGAATGTTGTGTTATTTTCATCGTAATGTTGCAAAAGTGAAGTACATGCCAATGTTCACCATCAACCAGTGATGCCACATGTGGCAGTCATGCCACATATGGCATCACTGTGTTTCAGTGTTTCCATGTTGTACTAACCATATCATTTTCTCCTTTTCTTCCTTTTCTATGAATAACACCGTTTGTACTTCCACCAGCTGAGAAGTGAGAAGGCGCTACACTATTTTACCATCACGCTGACTACCCTTTTTTTCTCCCTGTCTTGATTTTCCCCTACAGGTTTGCAATTGTCGCTCCTGTTTAGGTACCTTTTCGAAATATCTTCAAAGGAGATGGAATCAAGCTCTGCACAGTGCCTCTATTAAACTCATCAATATCCTCTCTCAACAGTGTCAAATTGCACTTCAGGACCTCCATTAGCAGGCACAGATCCAGGGGTGGGCCGCAGAGGGAAGGGGGGGGGGCAACCTTCTTAAAAAATACAGGCGCCGATATTAAGCATCAGCCCGCAAACATTGCGTTCTGGCACAGCGAGCTCGAGAAACTTTGAAATAAACCGCGATCCCACCATACGTACCCCATACGTAATAACACTTCAAAACCGTTGTTACTATGTACGTACATTGTACGTTGTACATTGAAAAGCACGTGCAGCTTATGTGTGTAGCTAGCTCGACATACACGTTGTACGCTGCTCTTTGGACCACACCATTGGTCAAGGGGTGTGTTTTCGCAAGAACAATTTGCCACTATTTCCACGCGCTTTTATTATACTTTTTACGGAGTCCAAAAAAGTGTTCTGTTTTTTAAATGACTTCTTCAACCTCACCATATATATGTCGTAAAGACTTTATTTGAGAAACGATGCAAACCCATAAACAAAATTGAAACACTCCTGAAGATAAACATGGATCCATTTATAAAACATCTTTTTTTACGAAGAAAGTTGTGATCCAAAAGTTGGGTTTTGATGTTAATTATGCGTTGCTGAAAATACAAATCTGATAAGTTTGGTACTTTAAAGGGATCTGTTTGTTTTTAAAGACAAAAGCAATCAGTAGTTATTGCCAAAAGGCAAGTTTTAGCACTCGAGACATGTTCTGGCAAGCTAGATGGAACACGGTGTGTTGCTTTCTCAAGTGCAAGCGAGGAAAATTTGAGCGTATTTCGCCGCTGGCAGCACGGGCCGGTGACTGTGCCGGGGGCCGGGATAGGTACACCAATTCCCGATGTCTATTATTTTCTCAACGTCATCATCTACAATAGTTATTTTATACAATTTGTCATGCTGTGCGCGCCGCTGATCTGCCGATGGTTTATTTACAAATACATACCGGAAGGCACTAGAAATTGAAACTGGACTGAATTAAAACTAATAACATTTCTGTAAAATGTTTACGCAAAAATATAAAAAGGGGAGTGAGAAACTTGGAGGACTTAGAGTTACTGCGAGTAAGGACTCAGTCTGTCTGAGCAGGGAGAAAATGTGAATGAAGTGCCTCTGGACTGTTGAACCACATGGTCTCAACATCCAACAAGGCATCGATTAATATTTCCATTTTTTTCCTCAAATGTCATTTGTTTCAGATTATCTTGCCTGACCCTCTTGGGGTTTTACACCTCCCCTTTCAATTTCACCCTTTTCCTCATCCACATGTTTCGCCCTCATGCCTCCCTCCTCTCCTCCCCCATTCACATGTACACCACATTCATTACTACCGTGACGTCCCACCCCTCGGGTGGAAGTGATGCAGCAAGGGCGCCCTCTCAACATGGGGGATGGCACGTACCGGAAAGTCCCTGAGCGGCTAGAGATGAGTCCGTTGGGATGGAAATATACCGTCCCAGTATTGGCAGCGTACTGGGTCGTGGTGGGATTCTATTGGACTTATGATCTGTAACCAAGGAATTATTTATGAAGACCAGGAACACCAATCAACCAGCCGAGTGACACAGAATATGCATGTAGGACAACACTTGATAATGGTTTATTTAAAGTGCAATCAACCCAACTCTTAGCAATCAACATTATAAGGCGGTCCAATAAATAATATAGTGCAATAAACAACGAAAGACAACCTTGGACTAAATGAATTATTAATGACGATAGAGGGCACTTTTCAACGAGAGACTATGAACCAAGACAAATTTATCAGCGTATTTTCCTATGCACGCACTATTATTCAAGAGCTGGTAACAAGTCTAGGACCCAGTACCCTGGACCCCACTCAACTACTGCTGTGTGGGTTCCGGCAACAAGCCCCAGATTATCTCGCACTACCGAACCACATGGTAGTAGCCCTTCGATGTCTGTCCTTGCTGCAATTTCTGTAAACTGATGGTTGTGAAGTCTACGAGCCCGTGCTGGTTTGGGGACTTTGGATGATGGGTTTATGTGAACTGTGTTATGTATTATTTTGTAGAAGTAGGTAAGTTGGTTAACTTTCCTGCTCTCTTCCAGTGAAGACCAGCCTATAGGGTTGTCAACATGTCGGTCACACTGCTCAGTCTGGAATAATCTCTCATTACAAAAAGCGAGCAGCTCTCCGTTGCACTTTTTCCAAGGATGTTATGTTCTTAGCTTTGAGAGGGTTCCAGGAAATGCTACCATATTCTAGGTGTGCACACGCGTGTGGTCTGAGTAGTGCTAAGTACAGCTTTTCTTTGACTGATCTGGATGCCGAATGAACATTTCTTTTGATGCAGTGTCAATATACAACTTGCTTTGGAAGTGACATGTTCTGTTTGAGGATTCCAACTTAGCCTAGGTTTATTATTCTGAATGATTATACCCAAATATGTGATATTGGTTTTCTCTACGAGGTTGGGTCCTAACGTGGTGCAGTTAGTTTTGCCAGGAGCCAGCTTCCTGGAGATTCACATGATGTTACATTTGCTGAGTTAAATTTCATTCCCCAGGTTTTCGCCCAGTTGGCCAAGTTGTCCAGGTCTTTTTGGAACATTAATTTATCAGTTGATGAGCAGATCTTCCGATATAACAGGCAGTCGTCGGCGAAAAGACGAGTTGTGCCAGTCACTGATTTGCTAATGTGGTAAGCCAATGTCGACACTTTGCCATTTTGAAGATTTACCATTTACCACAACTCTTTGTGACCTGTTGGTTAAGAATTCCTTGATCCATCTCTGTGTTTCCGTTT